GTTGTCCAGGATGGAGTGGTGGAAGTTCCCTGCCGCTGGTTTTGTCATGTTGTTCTTTCATGTTTGTGGATCTTTGTTCCAGATGCAACCTGTGTGCCTCCTTCCCAGGCTCAGATCGACTTGGTAGCAAGGTGATGATTGGTCTTCCGAAAAGTAGCTCTGCAGGTGATGGCAGTTTGCTGTCGATAGGTGTCGCTCTAATCTGCAATAATGCAACCTGCAGATTTCCACCGTGTTCTAGTACCTTCTTCACTGCAGATTTAATGTGCCTCACATGTCTCTCCGCAAATCCATTACTTTTTGCATTGTGTGGTGAACTTGTGATGTGCTTTCTTCCCCAGCTTTTTGTAATGTCCTGAAATGGCTGTCCTGTGTACTGTGGACCGTTGTCTGTCAGGATTTCATCAGGACGCCCAAACATTGACATGCATGTTTCCATTTTTTGTGTGATAGCTCTACTAGATATTGTGCGTATTTCATCAAGCACAGGGTATTTGGAATATCGGTCCACAGTCAGGAAAAACTGGCGGCCATTTACTTCAAACATATCTGATGTTAGTGATTGCCGCACCTTTGTTGGTACTTTGTGTGGGTGCAGAGGTTCTTTTGGAGGTGCATCTTGGTGTTCTGCACATACTCTACAGGATCTGCATGTTTTCTCTATGTCCTCAATGATTCTCATCCAGTAGACACTCTCTCTTGCAAGTTTGTGCGTTTTCTCTATTCCTTGGTGACTTGCATGTAGCTGTTCTAGGATGTTCTTGGTCAGAGTCTGGAATAATAATCTGTCTGCCTTTGAACATTACTCCTGCCTCCATTGCAAGTTCATCTCTGAAAGGCCAGAAGGCACGCAGATCTTTGGGCAGATCGGTCATTTTCTCTGGCCAACCCTGGTAGATCACTTCCATTAGAGCATTTAATTTGAGGTCTTTGTTGGGTTCCTCACGTACGATGCTCTGTTTTTCTGGTGAGAAGTTTATAAGTGCCACAGTGTGCATCTCAGGGTCTTCTGTTTCTAGGGTGATTCCATCTGTGCGTTCATCTAGCTCTAAATCCTTTCTGTTTTCGGGGTTTGGCATCCTGCTGAGTGTGTCTGCTAGGATCATCTGTGGTCCCGGCCTATTCATAATCTCAAAATTGTATCCCTGTATTTGCACTAGTGGTTTGCATGTAGTGGTTTTCTGCATATAGTAACAAGCAGGTTGTGATCCTTTATCACTACAAATGACTTCCCATATAAATAGGTGGGATAACGCTGTATGCCATACACAATGGCAAGCATCTCTCGTTCCATGTTACTGTATCTCGATTGCGTTTTTGTGAGTGTTTTGGATCCAAAAGCTATAGGCTGGTTGTTTAGCACTAGGGCCACGCCCAAGCCTTTCAGTAACGCATCTACTTCCAGTGTCAGGGTCCCTTTGGGATTGTAGTATTTGACATGCATTCTCTGTGATCATAGCCTTTAGCTCATCAAAGCATTTCTGGTAGTTGTGGTCCCAACACCATATTGCATCTTTTCTTAGAAGACACCTCAGTGTGTGCACTTTGTCTGTAAACTTGGAAATATAGGGTGATAGGTACGTCAGCATCCCTATAAATCTGTGTAGCTCATCTTTGTTCTTTGGATTTGGCATTTCTTGGATGTCCCAGATTTTAGCTGGATCTGGTCTGATGCCGTTAGATGTGCACTGATTTCCAAAGAATGAGATCTGAGTTTCTTTTATGGTGCATTTATCACTGTTGAACACTAACCCTGTCTTTGCAGCACGTTCCATCAGTTTGATCAGGTTCTTGTCGTGTTCTTCCTCTGGCTTCCCACAGACAGCGATATCATCAGCTATGCTGACTACACCCTTCAGCCCCTCGAGGATTTGGTCCATCCTGGCCTGAAAGATATCTTGAGACACACTTAATCCAAAAGGTAGGCGTGTCCAGCAGTACCTATCAAATGGGGTGCGAAACGTGGTTAGGAGTTGTGATTCTGGGTCCAGGTGGACTGACCAATATCCTGCCTTAGCATCCAGTTTACTGAATATTGTAGCATTAGCAAACTTTGGGTTGAGTTCCTCTACTGTTGGAATCTTGTGTGGGCATCTTTTCAGGCTGCTGTTGAGCTTTTGAGGGGCACACCCGTATTGTACCGTCCTTTTTTGTGCTGTACACAAAGCTGGAGCACCAATCCGTGTGTCCTTCCACTTTGCTTAACACACCCTGCTCCACGAGATCATTCAGTTCCTTTTGAAGCTTGTCTTTAATGTGGATGCTGCATTTATGCAGTGGGTCTTGGAACGGTTCAGCATCTTCTTTCAGTATGAGTCTGGTGGTTCCACTGAAAATACCAATTTAGTCAAATTGGTCAGGGTATGTTTGCTTCAGATCCTTTATTGTGGATATGTGTATTGGTGAATTGGATCTCTTTGGCTTCTCAGGGTCGTTTAGGCTGCTTATCGAGTCCACATTCACTCTGACAAGCTTCAGCGATTCACATGCAGTCCTACAATCGCTGGTCCAGGTACATCCACAAAGTAAAACATGGCTCTGACCCACTCTGAATCCTTCCACTGACATGGGAAGTCTATTTTTCCGAAGCATTGAATTCTATGGCCACTGTAAGCAGCTAGTTTTATAATGCTCTCTTGTAGCCTGTTCATAGCTTAACAGCTGTTCCCGTACATTTGTTTGCATGTGCGCAGTGGAAGGGTGCTGCCTGATGCTCCCGTGTCAATCTTTAGACGGAGTGTGTGTCCATTATCAGGCAAACCCGGTGGCTTTACATTTAGCACTGTGTATGCTTCTTCCCAGGGCTGTTTGGTTTCAACACTGTGCAGACACTTTTCACTAATTGTAACTGAGTAAAACTGTTTTTGATACATTTCCTCTTCTCCAAGTTCACTTCTGCATGTAATGTCAAAGCTGGGGTTCTTTGCCTTAATGTGGTTGTTTCTGTATGGTTGGTGCTGATGCTGGTCTTTATCTTTGCCTCTGTGTGGTTGAGCCTTGCTCTCTTGGTGCTGGCTATGGTGTTTCTGCTGGTATTTGTTTTTTCTGCAGCATTTTGCCCAGTGTCCTTTCATTCCACAGGCACGACACTCATCACAGAATGCTGGACGTGGTTTGTGTTCTTTACCCCATTTCTGGCATATTTGTTCCTGTTTTTTATTTATAGCATCAACCTTTTCATATTTTGTCAGCCCAAGTTGTTGTATTTGCATATTTCTTGCTGTCAGGGCTTCGTGCCTCCTCCCTTCTGTTAATATGTCAGCCAGAGACCAACTTGGGGCTTCCCATATAGCATATTTCTGAATCCTTCGTGTGGTGTGCTGGCTTTTATTAGCTCAATCAGGCGTTCGTTCAGCGATTTTTAAGTGAACTGGTACTTCAATGCAAGCGTTCTTGCTCTTGTTACAAAATCATCAATACTTTCATCTGACCTTTGTCTGTATTGCATGAGGTGAAGTCTGTGGATCCTGAAGTTCACGTCCAGCTTTAGTTGTCCCTCACAAAACGTCCACAGATTGGCAGGTACCTTATTTTCATCATCAGTTAGCCCGCTAGCACTTAGCCTCTTTAGCCCCTGATCTCCTATGCCCTGGCATATTTTCCCTGCTTGCTTGTCTTTGTCAGTTATGCCCTCATCTTCTAGGTACAATGACATTTTCTGCTTAAATAGTGAAATAGCCTCACTCAGATCCGGGTCGGACCAGTTCATCAGTTGCGACGCCATGTTATCTAGCTGCCGTTAGCACTCCCGCAGCTCCGTCACGGTGATGAAAAAACTGGAGTACGCGTTTTCCACTCACATTCGAAAAGGAGCAGTTCCCTCTCTCTTTTTCCTTCCTTATGCAGGTCCTTCACCGCTGCCACCATGAAGTGTTATTTGGTATTTTAAATAAGGACACATGTGGTTGAAGTTTTCAACGTTTACTTCTTCAGCCAGCGACACACATACCACCGCGACAGACGTTGGCAACGTCACGTTTCCCGGCAACCCCTCTCCCTATGTATCACTCCGCGCTGTGCGCTTCCTATTGTAAAATAGACCCTAGCTTGTTACTGTAAAGTTCTAATAATTCCACTGTAAAAACCATTGAATTTAAAATGTGTCTGTACAGATTCTGAAATACCATTTCTAAATTTTGTAACTGGCCTCATTGTGACTAATTGTGTTAACGAACCTTTGTTTTTCCAACCTGAGGTTGATATAAGTTCTATCTGTGAGATATTAATTTAACCTTTCCACAGAAATCAGCTTTAAAAGATGCAAATTGACATTTTAACATCCAATAGTAGTTTTTTATGTGATACTACATGAATTTTACACATGATTTATCCCAAGAATTGCTCATTTATTTAGCATGGTGATGTAATACGCCGTAATAATATAATTAGCTATCAAATAATTATCATTCACAAAACTCAAAACAATATTTTAATGAATACTCTGTTCCTATTTATTTGATTTGTGGGGCAAATTGCATTTAATTTTTGACATAAATGTCAAGCGCAGTTCATCAAAAGGCAGCAGATCAGTGGGGCGTCCCAAGTGATAAACAGCTGGGTCCATTAAACCTTAGGAGAAGGCAATAAAAGGCCAAATTTAGGGGAAATAACATGGAATTAGTGATGAAAAGTGACATTTATTTTAGTTCCGTCTAGCTATAAAGAGATTAATTACCTAACTGGCTAAAAGATAAGACTGCCGCCAGATTTGCTTTGATGCCTCTTTTAAAAATGAGTGGCCGAGTGGCCGAATGGACAGAAGAGGTGGTTTTCAGTGGATTCAAAGGGAAATTGATCAAAAAGAAAGAATTAGTTTTTCTGATGTAACTTGACATTTTTAGAAAAATAATAAAGGAGATGTTAAGAATACCCTTTATGTTTCATTCTTAATAAAGATTCTCACATTCTCATATTGGGATTTTAAGGAGAAAATGAGCTTTTTCCTGTTAGACAATGGAAAGTTAACTCGTCTGAAATGTCAAGCAGCATGGGCACATAGAATGTGTCAGATGACGGAACTGGTTTTATTTCAGATTACTGTTCTTGGAACTCCCGCAGAGGAGTCCGGCGGAGGAAAGATCGACCTGATCCAGGCAGGCGCCTTCGCTGACATCGATCTCGTCTTCATGGCTCATCCAGCTCAGCGGGATGTTTCTTTCCTTCCCACTTAGGTTCTTTTATATATGTCTCCCGCATATTTTCTCCTTTCTTCCCTATAACAGTTGCCTTTATAATAAACACAATACCTTTAGTGCTTATAGACGGCTATATTTGTGTTACACAGGGTGGCAGTGAAGTATCGTGGGAAAGCATCTCATGCCTCTGCATACCCCTGGGAGGGGATAAACGCTCTGGATGCTGCCGTGCTGGCCTATAACAACCTCTCTTTGCTCAGACAGCAGCTTAAACCTGATTGGAGGCTTCATGGTGAGAAACAGAACATTCAAAATTTAGCTCGACCTCTCAAGTGGCAAAATGATGGAGATTTGCATTTAACTTTTACACTGCAACAGTTGAAAGAGCTTTATCCACTAAATAATTTGGTCAGAATAATTTTTCTAAGCTGGGTTAGAAGAGTCAGGAAATACTTGATGGAAGCATAATTAATTGGCCTATTCTGGATTTCTTGAGAACCCGTGGGAATTTATGAAGATTTCACTTAAAACGGAAGACTTTAAACTTTTGGTAATAAAGTCATTTCTGGTTTCATGTACATTGCAAGATTTATAAGACAAATCTCTCTTTCCCCTTCTCCTCAGGCATCATCAAACATGGAGGGGAGAAGCCCAACATTATCCCAGCCTATTCTGAGTTAGAGTATTTTTGGCGCACCCCTTTGCTCAGTGAACTAAACGATCTGAAGGCCAAAGCCGAGGCTTGCTTCAGGGCAGCTGGAGAGGCAACGGGCTGCCAGGTTAGTACTCTGCTTTCTTCTGGTCATAAAGCACCTGTCTTTACTTATTAAACTTACAAATACGGGAAAATACACCTTTAGATATATATACAACAGAGGGCGTAGTGCCATTCTGTGGTGTCCTGTCATGTATCCGGTCCAAGGTAGTGTGTGTTTTATTCTTTTAAGAGACTTTTTAACACAGGCAGATTTGTCCCTCATCCTCCTCCACCTCTTCATGTGCTCGCCACCTCTAAACCCATGTTTCCTGTCATTTCCGCCCACGAATAAAATACTTGCTGTGCATTTTTTCACTTCTCCAATCACAGGGGAATAAAAAGTTAATATTTTAGAGTTTTTCCACGAGGTATTCTTCAAGCTGCTCTGTGTCTGCTGCTAGATATCCTCGGCTCTCATGTTTTTGAAGGCGCAATGGCGGCACTGTAGATGACGGCGGCGTCCTGACCAATCACAAGCTTGCGATCTCCATCTCGACGGACGGATATTTAGAAAAGAGAGCTGGACTTCGTCCGTCCTAGCGAGGGCTCTCCAGCAGGCTCGTAAGGGCGGATGATGGCGTTGCGTGTGTCCGTTCTGACGCAGATGGAGAAGTATAAATTAGACTTAATACCATAATCAGAATGGGAGCCTTTATCCTGTTTGTCCTTAAGAAAATCTAACTATTGACTGAAGTGCGTTTGGTTCCATAGCAATAGGTGGTGACAGGCACCATTTCTCGTTAGCATTCTTCTGGCTAGCTTAGAAAAAAAAGGATGTAGAAGTATAATAACAAGATTACAGGTAAAAACCAAAAAGCAATAAGCTATTGCCTGACCAGCTAGCCCCATGCTTCCTTATGGGAAGCAATGGGTCTGGGAACGCTCCTATTCGAATAACTCCACCCACCTGAGAATTCTAACCGAGCCAATCAGAGCTGAGCAGCATACGTCACACACCGCAGCACTCAGTTTCTCATAAACAATGAAGACGGCTTCTGAAATGGAGTTTGCTGCAGCTGTTTTCTCAGTTCTAAATGACTTGGACTTGTCTTTAAAACCACAAGTAGAAGTGCTAAAAGCCTTTCTTCGCCAGACGCCATGTTTGACTACAGCTAAAAAACTATAGCGTCGCGCGGTACGGTCGGCATTCCCGCCTTTTATCTGATTGGTTATTTTGAGCTGGCTAGTCCCGCCCCTCATGTGCCTCTCTGCCTGTGAGTAACCAGACTAGTTCTCTGTGAAGAATTAAACAGAGGACTAGTTTTGCAGGCCAGGCTAATAAGCTATTATTGTAACCTTCAACCAATAAGAAATATGAACAAAAGGGAAACTTGGGGTTCTAGAACTATGCAGCATGAGGGAGAAAGATATATTAATGTACATCAGATATTGAACACATACTGAATATTGCATTGGTGTTATTGTGTAACAGGATAATGCCAGTACCAGTTAAACTGAGGAGTTATACACTTTTACTGCAGAGGGGATGAATGATCTACAGTAGCGTTCTGTTTTGCATTTTAGATGTCTCAGTCCCAGTCTGTCACTGAAGACTGATACAGATTTTTGCAAATTCTGCTTTATTTAAAAGAAATTAAATTAACAGAATACAACTGTTCTTTTTTTAAATTTCTGATTAACTTGAAAACTGGGATTCTGGAAGTAAAACCTGCTAGCATGAGCGGCTGCTTAGCGAGGGCGAGACAAATCACTGATTAGTTCAATCATGCTGGTTTGTTTTGGATGATATTCTTAATAAAATATTTTTCAGGAACACTGATGTTTGAAAATAAACAAACCATATCCAAAAACCTGTGTGTTTTGTCCTCATTCTGTCATATTGACCCAAAACACGATTCACAGAGTTTAGCCTTTTGATTGTCTGTCATTCAGACGGCACGACAAAATCAAATATGCAGAATGTAGTAAAAAAAATGTACAGTAATGCTTTTTATTTTTTTTTTTACATTATTTTTGTGATAATTTGCAGCTGAAATGAAAAATAAATAAAAGTATATAACAGCACAGCTCTGTGAATTTAATTGTTTCTCACAGGTGGAGATAGACTACATCAGGCATCCTTACTTTAACATTCTGCCCAATTCCACTCTGGAAAACCTGTATGAAAGCAATGGAAAAGCTTTGGGAATGGAGTTTCCCGAGCAGCCTGCCAAGTTCTCTGGTAGGTAAAAATGAAATCTGTTTAAAGTCATTATCATCACTTTAAGGTCTGCGCATTAGCAGCAGTGCTGTGATCTGGTTTGTTGTTTCTGTGGACTGCTCTTTGAGTCATCATAGAATCGTTTTCAGAGGGAATTTGTAATTATCTGGCAGGGTCCACAGACTTTGGCAATGTATCATTCGTGATGCCTGGTATCCATCCTTTTTTCTACATTGGCACTGACGCCTTGAACCACACAGAGGAGTACACTGAAGCAGCAGGTATGGCAGCTCGTAACTATTGGCAACAGAAATTCTTCTTAATGAAGCTGAACTTTAGCAACGATCAGACATCGTCTCGTTCCAAGTCACACAGTTTGTTTGCTTCTTTTTATAGTGTTTTATTTTCTCTCACTGCTCTCTTTCCTGTGCCAGGAGCCGAAAAGGCCCAGTTGCACACCCTGAGGACAGCCAAGGCCTTAGCGATGACAGCTGTGGACGTTGTGTGCTGCCCAGAACTGCTGCAGAGAGTCAGGGATAATTTCAGGCAGGCCAAACTGGAGCAGAAGTGACTGCAAAGCAATAATACAGCTCTAAAAGATCTAAAAATATGATGACCTTGACTAGATTTAAAGTTTGAATTTAAAACACTTAAATAATGAGCTAAAAAAACAAATGTAGGGTATTAATGGTCTAAAACTAAAAGTTATGTTTGCTTATTTGATTCAATGCTGACATTTTCTGGTCAAGCATTTAAATTAAAAAGGGCTACAACTGTAGCTACAGAGGATTCTGCAGGTGTTTATAGCTCGAGCAAAGCTTTTTTCAGGCTGTAACAGAATGAAATGACTGTTTTCCACCAAAAGTCATTTCCCCCCTCTGCTAGGACGCAGAACTAGTCTGCATGAGATATTGCCCCAAGGTCTCATGCATTTGCTTATAAACTGCTTCTTTCCAGCTCAAGAGAAGAATGAAGAATTGACTCTCTCCTTTTAATAAATCAAAGAACTCTATTTTAAATAAAGCTAATCAAACAAAGTGTTAGTCAATAATAAGATGTGACCAATCTGTGAAATCAAAATATTAATTACTTTATTATAATCCTATAGAATATAATAAGTAATATGACTTTAAATGTTTCCACTAGGACTGATCTCACGTAGCGTCAAGAGGCGACACGTTGCTTTACTGATCCAATCAGATTCTGCCAGATCTGACAGAGGCGTGGTTTTGGTGGTGCTTGGTAAATCTGTCATCTTTTCATTCGACCATAAACCAAAACATCTGAAGTATGAAACTATGCCCACGCCATCTTTAACGCCAGTTCAAAGCGTTCTAGAGAAGTTGTCGGAGTGGCCAATCCGTAACTTTCTCATTACAAGGTCTCATTCACCTTAGTTACACCATACATTTAGTGTTAAAGTTAGTCTAGTTTTAATTTGTTTAGTAATAAATCTTTAAACTTGACTCTCTCTTCTGTTGTCTCTGAATTAATATGAGGTTGTTATCTAATCCCTGCAATAAAAAGTTCCAATCTTCTGGTTAAAATAACCCAACAGATCTATAAGGTTGATTTCATATTTCCTATGGAAACCTATGTCTTATGGCTTATTAAATAACATTCAATTTAAATCAATAAAAGGCCAAGCATCAATTGGCTTTCCAAACACAACTTCACCTCTCTGTCTCCCTTCGGAAGTTTTCAACTCAAACAGGGTTTTGTACTTGTATCTGCTCAGTGGTGAGTAGCCAGCAAGTGAACACATCTGAGCACTTAACACCTAACGAATTGAGATATTTCCCTCAGGAGTTCCTAGAGATCAAAAACAGAGAGGAAAAGAGAGCGCAAAGTGGAATTATAAACACCAGGTGATCAGGGCCGTATCATATGACATGAAATGAATTTTAATGCTGCTCCCTGACCGCAGGGGGTCCCTTACTTTGAACCTGATTTGGCGTCCTCCACCTTGCAACTAAATTAAACCAAAATGGGGTTTATATAAATATATTTGGGTGTTTGCGTGTGTTTTACAGATTTTAGGGAAGCTTTTGGATCAGAACACAGGCATCTTTTTGATGGAGTGACCTCCCACCCTTAGCAGTGATCAAAACATGCGAGCTATTCACAACAAATCGAGCTGCAGTATACACAATTTCTGATTTATTCTTTTTGCATACATAGGTGGGCCCCATCTGGAGTATATATGGGTAAATGTAGGCTGCTCCGAGGTGGCCCCACAGGGGGGTGCCTATTTAAAGGTACACTAAGTAACTTTGTCATATTTAAAAATTATTGTTTTTAGCCAGTAGCTGCTAAAATGTGCCTTTACAGGATGAATGAATAGTTTCTCAGCTCTTTCCTCTGCTTGTCGGGAGAATATCACCTTTGCAACTTGAGCCTCTCCCGACTGGTGACCTAAACTTTTGCAAAGTCACGTATCTTGCGAGAAGCAATAATGCTAAACGGCAATCCCATGTTTACAGCTCAGAACAGATGAGCTAGACATGGTTGGTGTTTACTGCGTCTTGTTCATCGTGGCGGAGCCTCAGAAGAAACAAAGATAACTTTTATCTGATTAAGCTCAAAAGTGAAAAAGAACTTCTGACTAAGGTAGGATCAAGATTGGGAAAGCGTCTTCTGAATGGATGGAGAAAAAAAAGATTCAAGTCAGATGGAGAACTTGCAATCACGCTATTGCACTTGTGGTATGTGGTCATTTGGTTTGCGAACACGAGCGTACAGTGAGGGTAGGGGAGCACAGTTTGTTTTTACGAGTGATTTAAAACGGACACTTGGGGGTGCTGAAGCAAGTTAAAACTGCCTGTCCCTTTCACATGTATGAGTAAACTATAAGGTTGTTTCCACCATCAGAACTTCAGGGTAATCTTACTGGAGCTCTCCACTTCAGCGGGCCAGTCGAAAGGATCGTTTTCCGGGTCATTTTTATGAACCAATGACGTACCTTAACTGGGGTAGGAAGTCAAAATGGCCCGGAAGAGCTGCTGAGCAGAACCTTTGTTTAACTCACACTGATTGGTTGTAACACAGTCGGAAATCACATCAGAAGATTTAGCAAAAACAATGCATTTGTAACACTGGAGTTGCTGGTAAAGCGCAATAGTAGGAAAAGAAAATAAGCTGTGTTCACACTGCTTTAAAATTGCCATTATTAAACTCCCTACAGAGCACTGTAGAAATTGACACTTCTTCTGGTCATTGAATGCCACATTTTACATCACAAAGCTGTACTTCGACAGAATAAAACTATTAATGTCTGTGGATGGTTCTTGACGCCATCAGTGACATCACTCAGTGCTGTAGCAGTCGCGATATGATGATTTATTAGCAAAGTCCTGAAAGGGATGAATTTGTATGGAAACACAGAAGCTCTGAGGTCTGAAATCATCTCCTGCTGTAAAGTTTTTCCCCTCCCAGAAATTCCCCAGCACTACGTTTGTGGAAACACAGCGGATGACCCTCTGCAGGCACGTGCGGGGATGGGGGGGGGGGGGGGGGGGCGGGGGGGGGGGGGGGGGCGGAGGGTGCTTGAGCACCTGCCTCTTTTGTCCGAAGTGCCCTTTTTCCGGTCGTTCGTCAAATTTTACCGTACAAAACTGTTATACTGTGATACCTATCGGGCACTAGGACCATGCGGGGGAAGCTGCCTCGAGCTGAAGCCTATTTTCCCTTAGACCCGCCTACAAGCTCACTGATTGGCTCTGCCGCACAATACTAATGTGTGATTGGTTGTCCCTGCTGTCGCTCTACCTTGTAGCCATGGAGACGACAGACCGGTTTTTTGCCTGCAGGCAGGAGTCTGCATTCATCTACCTGTAAGTTTTTTTTTCTGCCTGCTTCAGGTCAGCTGGATGGATTTTAATATCTGAGCTTTTGTTTACGTGCGTTTGAGTCCGTGGTTAGTGTGTGTGGAGCAGAGTGAGGTAGCTGCATGTCTGAGTCAGAAAATGGGACATGAGAGAGACTTCTTCTGAAGTGTTGAAGAAACTCACAACAAAGAATCACAGATGTTGATATTTCTCACTCTAGATTCTCCGGCTCATAACATCTGAATTACTAATCGGATAAAAATAATTCAAACGGTTTCTAAAAGTACATAAAACGAGCTTTCCAACGAGGTATTACATGATGTAATTCATGCTACTCCAAAAATCGCTATTAGTAGGAAACCAGCTTTGCAGCGTCACAGAAAGAAACGGAGCGAACCGCGACGGTAGAGCAGAGAACCAAAGGGAGGAGATATTCTGATCATCTTCATCAGCAGCTTTTATAAAGTTATGGAAACGTCACAAATAAAATCCACCTGGTTGGTCAGGTGTCGCAGAAGGCTGTTTCTGTAGATGGTGACATGAGGAGGGACAGATTAAAGTCACACTGGCTTTTATTTGAACACTCAACTGTTTACTAAATGATTCAGCTTCATTCCAGCATTATTTATACTTACAATAAATATTTATTTAGCTGAAAATATAATTTGCCAGTGCAGAATTTTATTAGTTGACTTTTTGTAACGAAATGTTTACATTTAACCTTTTATCTGCTTATTGGTCTTCATAATGGTGGTAGAAATGTAGCTACAGCTGTGAAGTAGCCTATGAGTGTTATTTTATGATACTTAGTATTTATTTTACTGTATCCCGTTCTCTGGACCAGAGCGTAGACCTGTGGTCACAGACAGGCTGCAGTCATTAAACAGGTAATCGTGAGGTCAGGGGTCACACTGTTTTCTGAGTGTTTGCAGTTCTGAGTTTAAATTGTTCATTTGACATAGTTTGCTCGAGTCATTTTGAAGTTCCTGTTTAGTAATAAATGTAAAGAAAATTCAAATCCGTGTTTCTTTTTTCATTTAAGCTGCAGTTTTACAGACTTTAATAAACATACCGGTAAACACTAAATACAAACCAGACACTGAAAGCTGAGGTTGTTCTGAAAAAAGGAGCAGAGTTACAAACATTTTACACTTTTATTACAATTTTAAAGTCATAAAACAAAAAAAAAAAATACCTGTTATATTTATGGTCATAAGAGGGTTAACGTGATAAATTTTCTGCCTCTCACAAAGAGATGGTAAAAGTGAATGTGAGCATAATTATATACATTTTATTACTTTATTATGTATTTTTTATTATTGACTATTACTCCAAAGAGTTCAGATGAAGGCAGCTGGACTTCTTTGGTTTCTTTAAAACATTTCACTTCTCCTCTGAGGATCTTTGTCAGTTCTAACTGGAACATGGAAGAGTCAAGCTTATAAGCTGTAGCTGTCTGTTGTTATTTAACGAGCAGAAACTACTTGTGTTGATTAGATGCAGGAAGGTGTGACCTAGACTGAAACTGAATGAGATTCAAAGCTGCATTATTGGTACTGGAAAGGTGAAATCTAAGCCCCTCCCCTATTTAAAGTGGGGTCTTCAAGTTTTGACAGAGATAGCTTCTTTTACTTCTCTCTCAAATCATCTATCTTCTCTGTCCAGAATGTGGACTTTGTCATCTTCAAAGGTGTGTCCCTTGTCCTTCAGGTGAAGGTGGACTGCAGAGTTTTGACCTGAAGAGGTGGCTCTCCTGTGCTGTGTTATGTTCTTGTGTAATTGTTGTTTAGTTTCTCTAATGTAAACATCTGGACAGTCCTCACTACAATGGACTGCATAAATGACGCCACTGAGCTTCTGTTTGGGTGTTTTGTCTTCTGGATGGACCAGGTTCTGTTTGAGGGTGCTGTTGGGTTAACGTTTACAGGGATGTTGTGTTTGGAGAAGATTCTTCTAAGTTTCTCTGAGACTCCTGCCACGTATGTGATGATGGTGCCTTTGTGTAAAGGGTGTTGTTGTTAGGTTGGTAGCAGAGCTCTCATGTTTAGTGTTAAGTTCAGTGAGATCATGGAATGGGATCAAGAATTTTCTACTGACAGGGAAAAGCTCTCAGCTAACATAGCTGTAAATCACACTGGATAAGTCTCTGTGGTTGCATTTATTTTACATTTATTTTACTACCTCTTACTTGAGCTGTCTTTAGTAAGCACAAAATATATTTGGTTGTACACCTGTGCAATAGCAATAAAGTATCTTGATTTCTGTTAAATGTACTTCCTGAATGAGTGACCTTTTCAGGCTAAAATAACAAATACAGACAGAAGGACAACTTCTTTCTTCTTTTGTAATGCATTGCATCACCACCTGGTATCAGAACAGGATTCAGTATTGGAAGATAATCAAAAATCAAACAACTTGGACTCGGATCAGGGGCAAAAATGTGGTTGTAACATCTCTAGATATAAGTCAGCTTTAGAAACTAAAACTATTATTTATGAACTAACATTAACACTAATGACACTAATTGATATATTTTTATTATGTTGTTTGAACCCAAGTTTCTCATTATCTGAATTTCCTAACTTGTTGGATTGCTCTATAAGTGCCTCCTTTTTTTTTACTTTGAGCACCCGCCCCGTCAAAGGTCTCTGCACGGCCCTGGCCCTCTGAATACCTAAACCCAGGTTATGCCAGTAACATCTATGTGGGCAAACATCCATGAAAGCAAACATCTTAGAGGGCAAACCCCTGTGGGCACCCATCATGTTTGCCCATATATATTCCATATGGGGCCCCATATGGGGCCCACCTATGTGCACTGGCTTCATGTTAACCAAAGACAGAAGTGAATAATGTCTGAAAAGCCAAACAGGAATTGTTTGTCCAGTTTGTGTCTCATCAGCCTGATTTAAATCAAAATAAATAAACCAGCCATGCATCTTAATGCTTTTCATTTTGCTTGTATTACATGCAAGAGAAAATTCACATCAGCGGCGATGAACTAAGCTCAGAACAAAACTAAACCAAAAATAATAATAATAATCACATTTTCAGAAAACAAAACACAGAATAAACATTCTCATAAAATGTTTTTTACAGCTTTGAAATAAAAAAAGATTAAAACTATCACCTAACAGGTCAAAGAGAATCTCAATGCCTCACAACACCGAACAGAAGAAATGAGCTTCAGTTGTAAAAAAAATAAGAGGAAATAAGAGTATAAAGAAAAAAAGATCATCGATGCTTGGGATTCTCTAAACACATATTTTTACATTTGCCATTTTAATAATGCAGCAAAACAACTGCACTAAAAATCAAACATATGCTGCAAAAATGAACATGGGAGACTAAGAATGATCTGAAATCTCATTTAAATGACTTTTGTTGAATTTGGGAAATTATCTTTACTTTCTTTCAGAAAAATAATGGATCCTGCAATAATTCTCATAGGAACCATGTTAAAAACAGAGGAAATATTCGTAACTTATAGAAGAACTTCAGATGTGTGTTTATTTAAAGATTTAGTGTCTAAATGATTCATTTTTAGTTTGTTGATTCTGACTCATTTCCTGTTTTCCTTCTAGAATAAGTAACTGGTTTAAGTCTGCTGCAGCCAGTCAACTAAATCTCTCTGATCTTATATATTTTAAGGTAATTATCCAAAACAAATCAAACATCACTGAAACATGAAACAAAACCCATTCTTTTTAAAAGTAACAGTAACTTTTATAAACTAATAAGACGTCAAAGTGCGGTTAAATGAAATTCCTATTTTTACCTTTTAGTTTGCTTGCTGAAACTGTGACACCTTTCACCGTGTAGTTTAAATGAGGGAAGATGTGAACCAAATTTAATTAAATTCTCTACAAACTTCCCTGACATTTTGCTGTGGCGGGACTGCATCGCACTAGCAGCTAAACCTAAGGGCTCCACATGTTTTATCACTAACTAATGAGTGAAGAAACGAAGAACATGAAGCTCCAGCTGAGCTGAGAAACTGGAACTAGAAAGCAGCTAGCTTTGATTTATCCTCCTGCACTAGAATTAGCCTGCTTCAGAAAGCTCAATAATTAAAGCAGCAATCCAGTTTACCCTTTTAAGATAATTATGTATGTTGTTTTTAAATAAATAAAAGTGATAGTCTCACCCTTTACAGTGGTATAATGACCCCAAAGTAATTTACTCATCGTTAGTCACTATAGGAGGATCTTTTGTGATGCCAATGTGCAATGTTGCTCGCATTGCATCGTAGGATCGTGTGGCAAGAATAAGCAAATGTTCCAAATTGTTCGACTGTACGTTTGGAAGAAGATAGCTGTGTGGTTGATTGTACCGCTCATTGGAGATGTGATTAAAAAAAAGAAAAATTTTCGATTTCTTTCTGTAAAGGACAGTGAAAACTGAAAGAAACGGTTTCGAGCTGGATTCCTGCAGCAACTGACAGTTTGCAAGGCTTGTTTTTTTATGGTAAGTTGTCGAAATGGCAAATGGGCTGTATTTGATGTAGCACCTTTTAGGATTCTACAACCACCCAAAGCACTTTACAAGCACACGCAAATTTACACTCTGGTGGTGATAAACTACAATGTAGCCACAGCTGCTCTGGGGCACGCCGACAGAAGTGAGGCATATTTTAAAATCCATCAAGTCACTGTTTTCACGTTCTGGTGTCTCAAACTGCGATCATTTCAATGAAGACTTGCCCGGCTTTGCGGTCGCAGTGAGGATTTAGCCATTTTCTTTGGTAGTCGCCCACAAGCTGTCTGTGCTTGGTCAGGTCACAACCACGGCTTTTTGTTTAGCTGAAGAAATCAGCCCAACTTTCCATAAAACAAAATAATCGTAGGCATCCAGACTTTTGAAAGCCTTTAATTTTTCATGAGTGAAGGGTCGGTGTTTACGCTAGCACTTTTTCCAGCATTGGGGGTTCACTTCCGTACATTGCCTGTGTGAGCGGAGGGTGGGCGCAGATAATTTTGCTTCCGCATGTTGGCCGGAGTGTTGGGGTTAGTAGCCTTCGTTGCCAATCCAGATTTTAAGCTTCTCTGTTAACCTCTTCCCATCTTCACATATTCAAGTACTTATATATATTGTAGAATTTCTCCCGCAAACTCTTGAAGGTGTTCGTTGTGTCTTGACAGTAGGCCATTTTGCCACCTGCGCATTTGCTCAAAGAATTCAACAAAGATCCTCCAATAGTGTTTGACATCTGCATACGTACAGATTTGCGAAAGCATCTGGACTAAGCAGTCTAACAGGAGAAAAATAACTGTATTAGCTCTGTTGGCCGGCTAGAGGTGCGAATTTACAAACAAGAAGCGTTGCTTCCAGCCATGATTAGGAAGCAGGTAGAGGGGCTTAAAGATGCAATATGTTTTTCCGCCTCTACATGGCGTCCTCTTAGAAAAAACTTTGGATTTCTACTTGTATGCGTTGTTGTTTGCTAAGAAATCTGCCATTACTGCAGGGAATAATTACCACAAGCCAAGACGGTGCATAATTAGACATGTAACCTGTGAGACTATTCAAACCAAAAATGCTAACTTATTGTCTGGTTTTCAGTCAGTAGTTCTTTCAACCAGAGAGTAAATGAAGTTTTCACAAAATGTCAAACTATCGCTAAGAGTCTGTCATAGATTGTCACAAATATTTTATGTGCGGAAATGATCCGTCTGTGCACTGAAAGCAACGGGAAGTGTCACTTTCTCCAGTTCATTTTCTAGTCAGAGTCGCTGCATTTTTAACGTTTATATTCGTGCAAGCGCTCGTGTTTCCAACGAGGTCCAACCATCCTTCCACCAACAGCAGACATCACACAGATTTGATGGAGTGATTAAAACAGTAAAACCACGGCCCTGACTGTCAGCAGTTCATCAGTTTTAAGCGGCTCGGTCATGAAGGCAAATGTTACTCATCTGTTAATGATGCGTATGCATTTAATGAGCAGTTGCTGTTTGAAAAACAGTCCATGGTCTCTTTTTTTTAGCCTCACAAATTAACAAATAAGCTGTTTTCCCATCATGCACTACTCCCACTGAGTTGAATGCATCATAGTTTATGAGTATATGGACCAGTAGATGATGTTAAAGAGGATGTATGCTCCAGGAAAGACCACCCTCGAGTACTTGTCTATGGCGTGGGTGTCAATCCAGATGTTGACGTAACCTCTGGAGGCCTTCACCTGGCCTGTGATCTGCGGGTCATTCAGCGCCACCTGAGCCAGGATTCGTTCTTGGCGGCTGCCGTTCTCAGGCATCCCATAGTTTCCTGTGGTGTTGACATCCATGGACCCGTATCCAGTGATCTGTGGGTCGATCATCATCTCGTCGGGGTTGCCGATGCCACATGTGCACGGCAGCTGGAAATGCAAAAGGACAACAAAGCTGTGTGTTTGATGTTTTTGCCACACCAGAAAAGAAACATCAGTGCAGGTTTCTTTTCTGCACATTCAAAGCATTTATAGGAAAAGATGTTGATGCTGGAAATCTTCCTCGAGGTATGCGGGCAACTTGGCTCCATATGCCACAGCAGTTGGCAGATGAAGAATAGCAGCCATAGCCCTTGGAGCAGCTTAAAGGAAGCCAATCTAGAAAATATTTTTCTGTTTATTGGCCATGTGCATGAATTATTAATCAAATGTTCTGCCGGTTTGGATAGATTTTCATATAAGAAATACATCTGACAGAAAACCAGGTCAGCATTGGCTGTGTTTAACTCACTAAAAATGTGTCGTTAGTTGATTTAAAGATGTGTGTCATTTAAAATTCACACTTTATTCAACCAAAAGAGCTTCAGTGCTAACGAGATGTGAAAAAGCAAAATACAAAATGAATGTTGAAACGTGTACATACAGCTTAAATGTCTCAGCTTGTGTTTTCACAGCTTGTGTTACAAATTAGGCTTGTCTCTGAGAATAAAAAAACTGAAGGCCACCGAGAACTGAAAGAGAAAAGCAGATAAATAAAAGCTCAAACAGATGAAGGGAGCACTTACTCTCTCACGCAGCTTCCTCTCTTTCCTCTCCTGCACGGTGGAGAGGTAGTTCACGGCTGCATACTCTATCACCGACAGAAACACAAAGACAAAGCTGACCCAGAGGTAAATGTCCACCGCCTTAATGTAGGACACTCTGGGCATGGAGGCGTTGACCCCGGTGATAATAGTGGACATGGTCAACACTGTGGTGATGCCTGAAGGAGATTAAAATAAAAATGTAGTCATCCTCCTCTCTCTGGGAAATATCTGACTTCATTTTTCCTAAAGGCAGAGAGTGCTTCTTTGTTTTATTTGTCGTTCAAAAGAAAACGTTCTTTTCATTTGCAGACAGGATGCTCAAAGATGCAACCTCCTTCTTTCAATAAACAGCTCTGGAGGGCTAACGGCAAATGCTAGTGCAGAGTCATCCCTCTACATTAGTTTACTCAGACTTGTTGAGTTCTGGCTCTGATGATGCTGCACCAACAGATGGCTGCAAACAAAATTGCACTTTCCGGCACAGACTAACAGAAATGTGTAACATTTTGGTGCAAGCACTGAACAAATGTTTACTTTCTTGATTTGTTTTGTCTTCAGTGATGCATGTACAGTTATCCAGGTGAGATATTACTCATATTTGTTTATGCACTGCCTGTTGGTTGTGGAAAAGATGTAAGCCTGTTTGAGAAGGGTCAGGGGCCTCATTTATCAAGCTTGCTTACGCACAAAACGGGGTCGGAAAATTGCGTAAGCAACTTTCCACGCAAACTTTGGGATTTATGAAAGAAAACTTAGCGGAAAAATGTGCGCAACTTTAAGTTGACTAAGGACCTGATTTACGCACATTTTGGACATGGAGAGCACCTGCAGAGCTGCTGCTGAGAAGGATAAAATTATGAAATCCTGCAGCATTATCTACGGAAGCGTATTACCGTCAGTGCGGGGGGAAAAACTCAGGACCAGTGTCTCGTAATCACGAGAAATGTTCTCGTTAAAACGTGGTATAAATATCGTTTTAACGACAAAGTTTCTCGTTGTTACGAGATACTTTCTTGTTAAAATTAGAAAACTTCCTCGTTAAAACGTGATATGTTTCGAAATAACGTGTTCTATAACTTGTAATAATGACATGAATAATAACGGTAAAACGGCGACATCTCGCGGGATGTTTGAGTCTCGACAGGAAGAAACGGCGGGAGAAGAGATGGAGACTCCAATGGAACCACTTTTTGCCTTTTTAAGTCAACGTAACTTGTCTGAGGAATGTATTTCTGCAATGAGGAGAGACAAAGTAGGTGACACATTTTAGACGCTTAGCCTACCTGAAATTAGAATCGATTTAACACAGTTCTATGTTACTGAATCTATCTGCAGTGTGATACCATCTACTGGTAATATTAACACCCTGTTTTAAATGACATTTACTTGTATTTTACTCATCTAAGCCTAATGTGTTCATAACCTATGCTTGTTATAATGATTATTCATACATTTATTCACATTTTATTGTGTGGCACAACAATACGCTTCTGTAATTATCACTTGTACTGCTTCGTTTTCACACAGAACAAGACCCCCGACACGCACATACACACACGCGCGTGCGTGTCACACAGTGGAATGTGTGTTTTCTGTTGCTTTAAATTATTTTAATAATTGTTGGAATTTCTTAACAGTTTTGTGCTATTGCATGATTTTGTTGTGTGTTTCTGGTTTTATGTGCATGTTTAGATTGTTTTGCCACTGTTGACATGACTGATGTTAGTCACCTGAAGAGGTGGGCGTGACTGTGAGAGCGCACCAGGTGTGCGTATTTGGCAGGCTGATAAAAGGAAGAAGATGCAGAACTGCGGGAGGGGATAGAGACAAAAAACAAGAAGGCAGAAGGACTGCACTACTAGAAGAGGACGTAGCACAGAACGGGTTGGATCGCAGGAGGAGCAGTTCATCCCTGGCGTCAAGTGACAACGAGTGGGAGTAACGCCTTTGAATGACAGCAGGGCAGAGGTTGGACCTCTGCCTGCATCCGTGAGTAGACTGCCTCCACTGTCGTATGCTGGGTGACGCTCCGTATGGGCCGATCCTACGGAAAGAGAAAGAGATTGCACCGCTTCACAGACAAAGGTTCTGCCCCAGTATTTTGTTCTTGGCAGGGAGAAGCGGCGAGAGCCCACGGGAGATCACGCCTGAGACGATCGCCTGATGAGAGCGAGAACAGAGACTGCTGGAGTCGGACGCAGAAGCTGGGGGGTCGCCTTTCCCATCCTGGAAATTCCCTCTGCGTGACGTTGTGGATCTGGGAGGAGCCCAAGTATCTTTGGGGTCTTCTTAAAGAACTAGTGTTACTTGCTTTTATGGACTCGAACTTTTTTTAGTCTGCATTGATTCTTAAGCATTTTTTTAGGTTTTATATACTTTTAGACTGGGGATCATTTACTAAGCAAAGACTTCTTTATTTAGTTAATAAAAGAGGTCGCAGACAAACTTCTGCTCTCTGGAGTCTCTGTCCCTCTGGTTTTGCACACTCGCTCTCCACCTGTGTCGTTGCGAATCCCTGGTGTGACGCTTGAGCTCTGCAGCTCCAGCATTGCCAAGGTTACACACACACACACACACACACACACACACACACACACACACACACACACACACACACACACACACACAGCCTGAAGCGCAGAATACGGAATGCAGAATATCAGCAGGGGGGCCGATTGAGACAGAATGTCATGCATCTGTGACAGTGTGTGTGTCCTGTCACTGTGACTCAATTGATCATGCGCCCTGGCTACATGAACAAGGGAGATCTGTTTGGGTGACTGGTTAGCGCGCATGAATCTCACCCAGGAGTCTGGAGATCATATCCCGATTGGACCTTTTTTTTTAAATATCCGCCACAGATCTCTCTGAAGAACTCAGCATTGACGGCTTCAGCAACGCTGTACCACTCCGTGGATTTTCTCTTATTTGTTTTGCAAAAGCACTTCCTTTCATTTCTCCACCTCACCCACAGGGACCTGAATTTCTGCTTGTGAAATAGCACTTCCTTGATCTGCGGTCGTGATCGAAATGTTGCAACAAGCCGGCTTCTATATGCATGAGATCCACAAGGCATTTTGCATAGACTATTTATGGCAATAAGTGGGCGTGGTGAGGGCGGGATGTGACTAAAATGCAGCTGAGAAACTTTCTAGTTAGTCTCCGATTTATGAAGCGGAGATTGCGTGCAGCTGTGCGTACTCCATGTTTGATAGATCACAACCCTACTTGGCGTAAGGACATTTTTTTTGCTGAGCTTCAGTATGATTTTAGTAAGGATTCTACACAATGTTTGATAAATGAGACCCCAGATCATTGGCATGCATCAAGCAGAGAAAGCATCTAAGGAGATTGTAGAAATGACTAAAACTGGATTAAGAACTGTCCAATGCATTATTAAAAACTGGTCTGACGAGTCCAGATGGATCTTGTTCCAGAGGGATGGTGCATCAGGGTACGAAGAGAGGCAAATGAAGTGATGCAGCCATCATGCCTAGTGCGTGTACAAGTCTGGGGGCTGTGGTGCGCATGATTGAGGATGTAGAAATCAGTCGGAGGAGAAGACGGCAGGATTTGGAGTGCTTTTCCTGACATCTCAGCAACACGAGTTTACCACTGACTTCATTCGCTCTGCAACACTGACAAAGCCAACACAAGCCTGTAGGAATTCTGCTGTGTGGTGGAGTTACTAATGCTAATGGTTAGCTTCTACTAGCTGAGACGTTCTCTGCTGTTTCCTGGACGCTAAAGAAACAACAGCCTTCCCCGTTGTGAGTCAAGGGCCCATGAATGTTAAGTGACATTGTGATGTAGATCTGTCAGGCTTCTCTGAACCGAGTATTTTTCTGTTTCTTTTCTATCAGAAGCTAATGCAGGAAATAGGGGAAGAAGACTTATTTTCCCCTTCAACCTGCAAGTAAAAACTGGTTTCTCAATTAACTTGTTCTTTAAAAAAAATCCTCCTGATGGTTTGAAAATGTGTAAAGATTTTTTTAAAGTATTTTTTATCAATAAATCAGATTTTTAACATTTTATGAAGCTCAAAAAATATTGAGGTAGTTCAGCAATTCTAATGTGGATGAGTAAATGTTAAATGGTTTCAATCTTTTATTTTACACAAACTTTGTATCCATCTGCATTGGATTTTAGCCTGAATTTGAATCTGGGATCCTGCAGCTCTTCCTCCTAAGCACTTCATCACATACAGCATAAGTAGCAACATGCTGGAAGATGTCAAAATCCCATTCACAATAAATGTAATGGCTTAACAATCTGTAAGTGTGCATGTGGAAACATTGGAGCAACATTTCATCATTCTATACAGTTCTGCATCTATCTATTTTTAAGCAAAATCATTTTTTTAGCAGAGCTTAATTCCCCCTACATGTAAGAGTCTGGCCTACCTAGTGGCACCCTGGCAGGCACGGCCCTGCGATCAATCCAGAAGGACACCCAGGACAGCATGACCATGAGAGTCGCAGGGAAATAAGTCTGCAGCAGGAAGAAGAAGATGTGGCGCCGCAGGGTGAAGTGGATGTACAAACGATTGTACCAGCCTGGGAAGAAGAAACATCACCATTATATGCACATTGTCATGTGCTGGCTGCTGATGAACCGTGTCAACACTTGAAGCATTGTCCCAGCTTCTCTGGCAGAGACAGATAGGACACAAAATCCTTTTTATGCTTCAGGTGGCAGAAAAAGTGACATTTGGTTATGAGAACAGCGCGGTGCTTTCCAGCTGTGAACAAGTGGTTGGCAGCGGTCTGATTCATTCTGTTTTGCACAGGGGATTAAACACTAGTTCACTGTATTTGGTGTGACATTCAGGGGGTGATGATGAAAAAGCCTGATCCCTTTGTTTGAAAAGCTATAGTAAAAAGGTGATTCTCTGAACCTGGTGGTGAGCTATAGTACCTGTGCTGCTGTAAAAAGCCAGCTTTGTTGTGGTGTGAAATTTCTGAATCAGGAACTGAGACAGAGATATTCTGTCATCCGTGTTCAGGGATTCGTTGCCTTTCTTCCAGTAGAGCATCAGGTCATCATCTGTATACGCATCTGTAGGAGAGAAACATGCAGATGCAAGTTACACATTAACAATCAGGTCAGGGAACAACATGAACAAAATATGTGGCAAAACAGGCAAAAAAGGAGGATCTAACTCCCACTAACTTTCCCAAAAGGCTGTGATATTTGCACACTGTTCCTTGCACTCAGTGATGGAGTCATAGCGACGATGCAGGAGAGAGGAAAAAGCTTTAAAACGAATGCAATGCTGGTTCTTTGAAGCAGAAAGGAGCCCTGAAACTTTAATTGCATGATTTATCTAAGGTTTTATGAAATATCTGCTGTGCAAAGTTGACATGTCAGTCTCAGCAGGGCGCAAGATGAAAGCAAAAGCAGAGAATCTGGAGTGGGATATTTCTGTGTACACGCTTCATGGAGATTGCATAAGAAACATACAAAAATACACCAGAATGGATGTTCTAAGGGGGAAAATAATTGATATGAAATGGTATTTTAAAAGTTCTTAGAAAAATGTTTGATATTTCTGCAAGACCAGAAAAAATAGACTTAACAGTCAGTAAACAGAGTCCAATTAAACAAACTCAACTTCTATTTGTGCGCTTGCTCGTGTGTGATTAGTTGGCACTCAGCTGTCTGATTTAGTGCTTGCATTCCATCTGAGCCAGAGCTTCGGTTTTTTCCCCAAATGTATTTTTGCATTTTATGTATTTTCCTTTATTATACTGAGACATTTAGTTTTTGTTTTTTACATTGATTTCATTCTGCAATGTTGGAAAATGCCCATAGCATTCACAATTTAGCATTTTACCAAGATAATTTACAAATGTTTATTTCCACAAGAAAAACAAAAAATTCCCTAAAATTCAAGTTTTCTGCATCATCTTCTTAGCTTTTTCATCTTTAAATAGTTAATTAAAAGGCAAAAAAAAAAAACAACTGTGTTCAATATTTTACCCACAATATATCCTGTAAGCATTTGAGATGTTCAAAATTCATTTACTTACAGCTCTCAATCTCCAGTGAGCAGGTTTGTGTGTCCAGAGGGAAGCGGCTGAGGTCCATGTTGCACATTGCAGTAACTGTTACTCTGCAGTAAAAAGCAAAAAAATAAATAAAATTTAAAAAGTCCAATAAATTTGCTGTTATTTATAGGGTGCCATTTATAGAGTCAAACAGTCATAACGTAAAAGTAGTATTTTGGGTTATTTAGCCTATCATAAGATAAAAATAATGGGAGTTAATTTGTCTAAGTCAAATTTTCACCATTTCATTCATACTCTTATAAATGTTGAAGTTCCCAGTTATACCTAAATGTTTATTTTTTAAACTAAATATTTAAGTCAGACCTAAAAATTAAGTTGGTAAAATAAATATTTAATTTACACACTAAATAAGAGTTAAATATTTAGTTACTAAACTTACTAAACTACTTACTTACTACTTTCTAAACTAAAAACTTAGCTCCAAATTAAATTTTTTTAGGCCAAACCTAAATATTGGTTTTGTAAACTAAATGTTTAGCTGCAAAAATATTTAATTTGGAGCTAAGTATTTAGTTTGTAAACTAAATATTTAGCTCTAATTAAATATTTATTTTACAAAGTAAATTTTTCGGTCTGACCTAAATAATTAGTTTGTAAAATAAATATTTAACCCTAAAATAAATATTTAGCTTGCAAACTAAATACTTAGTTGGAAACTTTAACATTTATAAATGTATGAATAACATGGTTAAAATATGACTAAAATAAACTCCCATTTTTGTTCTCTGATGATAAGCTAAATAATTTGAAATACAGCAGTTAAAAATATTTAGACTGCCAAAATAATTTTTAAAAAGGAACTCGGATGATGGCTAGAGTCATTAGCTGTAACATGTCGGGTAAAAACAATTTTTACTAAGTTGTGTAAAAAATGAATAAAGAAATGGATTATGAATACAGATCAAATGTACAAAAGAGTACAACTGTTGAGTTATGACTGACTTTACAAATGGCACCCCATCGATATTTAACAATGAGGAAAATTATTAAAGGTTATACATTTAATATATTCTACTTGTGTCTTTTGCGTTTGGCAATAAATGTAAAATGGTTGTGGTGTTATATGCATGGAACTCTTCCTTGCAGAATAAATAAATTATTCATATAAAAGGTTGTTGCCCTCCAGGCTTATTCCTGTTTTGATGGCTTTCTTTCTTGTTGCTTTTTTCAGGATTGCATTATAGCAGAACTGTAATTATTATTCATTATTTACTGCAATATGTTAATATTAAAGTCAGTTTAATCAAGTGTGTTAAAAAGTGAATGCTGTGAAATTCAAAATAGTGACTCTTTTAGACCTTTTTTTGACCTCTTAAAGCCTTCTCTTTCTAGAAATAAATTTATGTCTTTTTGCATTAGAAAAATAAAAAAAACTTGAATCAGAGGATTAAATCATTAACTGCTCTTAAAAGCATTTTCCAGGATTAGAAAAATTCTCTGAGCCTTTAAGACTGGCCGTGCTTCCGGAATAGTTGTGTTTACCGGAGACTGTAGAGAACGTTTCCATCAGGATAAACCCTCAACATGACGTTGTCAGTGGTGGTGTCGTGGATAAATGAGCGCTTTGAGTGGACAAAGAACATGTCAGGAACCCAGATTTTCTTCACCAGGCGGCTGTCAAAGGTCATGCTCTGGTTGGTAGTGCTCGGAAATGAAAGACGCTCATCCTTCCAGTAGTGACGTAAATACAGCGTCATGGTGAAGTCCTATGAGGATAAAATAAAGGAAACAAGTGGTTGCAAAATGTGCAACGAGGTTAGGCAGGTTTAAGGTAAAAATATAAGAGAGTAAAAGGAGGTGTGGGTGTAGTTTTATTATAAAAAGACATTTCATGTCACAGTTATTACAAAATGTGTCAATAATTAAATCAATGCAAAAGAAAAAAAGGCTAAAAATGAAGATTTTGTGTCAAAATAATTCTAAAAAATAAATCTAAATGCTGAAATGTCAACATAAATGTTACAGTTTTAAACTAAATATTCTACTAACCCCGCCCACTGATAGATGATTCGTATTTGGGTTCACCAAATCGTACCATCAAAAAAGTATTTGATAGGGGTCTATTTACCATTTCATAGGGCATTTTTATTTTACAACACTTTGGATTCTTTCATTTGCTTAACATTTTTTTAACTCACATATCTGTCAGGATGCGATTTTGTTTAGATCTAAATCTAAATATTCAACTTCATTTTGGGGTTTTTCTTTAACTATATGGATTTTATTCTGAAAATCTAGATTTACATTTACACATTACGCTTTTATTTCAAATATTTAGATGTTGTAATTTTAGATATGAATCAAAATATTTAGATTTATCTTTACATTTTCAGATTTTATAACAAATAATTGGACTTATCTTGACATACTTAGATTTAAAATTAAATATTTAAGTTAATCTCTAAATATTTAGATATGTGATTTATCTTTACATGACAAGATTCTATTACACATATTTAGACTTATCTTTGTAATTTTAGATTTCAATCTAAACATTTAGATGTATATTTACATATCCAGATTTTATAACAACTATTCAGACTTATTTATACATATTTAGATTTGAATCTAAATAATTTGATTTATATTGACACATACAACATGTTATTACAAATATTTATACTTATCTTTACAAATTAGGTTTCTGTGTCAAATATTTAGCTGTGAATCTAAATTATCTTGGACTGTGGTTTTTAAATCATTTAATCAAAACCCACATCTTTGAAGTGAAAAAGGAGGTTCATTCAGTAAAGTAAAATATTTAAAGACACTTTTTCACAAAAGCAAATGTTTGCTACTTCATCAAGGATTTTAAACCCTGAGTAGCAAACCTTTGTGATTGGAAAGTCCTTGTCATGTTCCATCAGTGTGCATCTTGTAAAACAAGTGTGTTTAAATATGTATTAATGAACACGCTTACCATGTCCACCTCTGAGATTGTGTCAATACTTTCAACCTGAACATCTACTCCAACAGGGATTGGAGGACCTGAAAAAAAAAAACTAATCTCATCAGACACCAAAGCATTTTTTATCTAAACAAGGTTACCAAAAATTATTTTAACAAAGGGCTCAAATTTGCATAAATTTAGAGCAACTGTCAGTGTCACCACTGTGACAGACTGCCTTTGGTTCTTCTTTTGACCTATTTAAGCCCCTCTACCCTGCATCATCATAGAGCACACAGATACAATCAGGTCATAACAATGGATAAAAGCTGATGCAACACTGGATAAAATCCAGCTCTCTTTTCCACTTACGGTTGAAATCGGACATCGTTAACAAGGATTCTGCACTGTGTGTTTTTAGCAGCAGATTGCGCTGTGATTAAAAGCGGTCTGATAAAAACAGCACATGTTGCTAAGAGGTCACGACTGATTTGATCTTGCTTAATAAAGCTCCCGTGTTTGTTTGCTTCAAATTCGCCTCAAATTACAAAATAAAAGATACATGGAGATAAAAAGCATATTATATTGTTATCTTCCTGTGCGTTTATCTTTACTGATCACTCTAACATAAACAGAAAAAAGGGTGTAAAGATCTAAGCTACAGTAGGAAACCGCAGAGATGGTGTCAACAAGGTCTCTGGGAGCTTAGCATTAGTGTAGACTACAGACAACTGATCGGATCTTCTCCAGCTGATGAAAAACTTTCATTCAACTGGTTTTATTGGTGCTTCTGACCTCCAAATGCTGGCCTCATGGTGAAATCGTGGTCGTCTATTCTCAGGAGCTGCTCAGATTTGGTCACTGGTGATTTAGTCAGGTCTGGGCTTCGTTTGTAAATGGGACTGCATGGAAGAAAATATTTTGACACAATTACAAAAAAAAAAAGTTTTTGTGGATTCTAATTTTGCCTTTTTCAGAACTCACCTCCCTGTTTTGTGACCACCACCACCACCTCCTCCATCCATCCTGGTTTCTCTCCGTGACCTGCTTATTGAGAACAGAAAAGATAATACTGAAGGAGGGAAATAATACTGAAATTGCAGTAAATGTACCCTTAAAGTACCCACAATGTGTAGTTTTCTGCCACTAGGGGGCAGTGCATATATTTCAGGGTAGTTTTACACCGCATCGCCGTGACTGTTGCCAGTTTATAAAATGTTACGGTAAATATTGTTACCTGTGAAGCAGAAAGAATGCAACCTCAGCGTGTCTCCTCAGAATTTCCTTGAGAGAATGCAATGTTGATTGTAGTTTTCCGGCGCTGTAGTTTCCGGATCTCCTCAGGGTCCTGCGCCTGCTGGTGATGTCATCATACTATGGCAATACTGCTCGGCCAAATTATATTGCATCTATTTTTCTATTCTGTTTTTTCACATATTTTCTTGAAATAGAAGCAGTTTTGTTATTAAATTTGTGTTTCTCACTGCCTAAATGTTTTTCAACGTAACGAACGCAACTTCCGTAAGTTGTACGTCCAGCCAATCATCTAGCGTGATGTCATCAATAGGCGCAGGACCCCGAGCCGGCTAGAAGGAAGCATGGCGTCCCTCAAGACACGCGCCCTATGTGCTCTAGACCCAATTTTTTATAGTTATATGTTATGAATCCTTACTTTTCAAACACTGGACATCATTTTATTCATTTTCAACAATGTTTTGATTGATATTTCCAGAGACTAACGGTAAAACTACACATTGTATCTTTAAAGCAAAAATAACCCAAAATTTGGACACATTTCACTCCCCAGTTTAGTTCTTTTTCCAAGGATTTTTCTCTTCCCACACCCCACTGTCACGTTTCAAGATGGCCACCTCTGCCGAGCTATTCTTCATGCCTCGTTTTCAGGCCACGAGCAGAAAAGAGTGCCAGAATGATGAATTCCAAAAACCCTAAAATGGATTAATAGAGTAGAGCATGGTGTGACAGAAAAAGCCAAATCCCTGTGACAACCGCAGACATACATTAAGGAAATATCAGAGACGAGAGGAAGAGTACTGCACAAACTGAAAGTAAATAATAAAAAACAGAGCAAAAGAAGAGGGTTTCACTTGTAGGGGAGTTGGCTGTAGTGGTGAGAGCCAGAGAGTGCTGCACATCTGTGTCTACCCAGCAGCTGGTTCCTAATCCTCTTGGCAGAAATGCCTCTCCAATCCCCTCTATATTTGCCTCCGGCACATGCAGACTGCCTGTTCTCTCTGCTCTGTGTGGTCCGACATTGACTCTGACACTCTCTGCAGGCGTACGTCGCCATTGGGGCCGCATTACGGTTACTGGGCCAGATTTTTTCTTCTTTTTTTTTCATCAGAGGTCATTCTGGACACGTTTTTGCACGTGGGCCCTCAAAGGCAGCAAGAAAAACTAAATATCTGCACATTTAACAAGATTATAATTGTTTTCCTTGCACTGAAGTCTTCGAGTTAAGGCTGCACAGAAATCACCCAGCGACCGTCACCAATGATCACAGAGGTTTTCTCTCCTCTCTGATGCATTTCTTATGTCGGGTCTCTTCTGTGCTACACAAATCCTCCCTCTCAGTTCGCCCTTCTAAAAGCGAGGAAACTTAATGCTGCAAAAAACTCCTACAAACCCACGCCAGCAGCGCCCAAACGCTTTAGCAATTTCACACTCAGGAGAGGAGGAGCTGGGCTGATGAGAGAGGAAGGGGTTTGATTTTTCTGCATAAAATCAAACCCCTTCCTATCCTGGGAAAGCTGTAGGATTTACATTTGGTTTGCAGTCACAGAGCGTGCATGTCAGCAGGGAGAAAAATGATGTGAGGTGACTCTAAACTAGTCGGGAAAAGCAAACAGTGACACGCAGACTTGATAACAAGACGACACGGGCATTTAGCTCTGAGCCACGAGTGCTTTGTGCCTTTCAACAGCTGATTATAATTGTTCACCCTCTCATACTCAGTGATCGTCATAATCACCACGGGGCACCAAAGATCACTAGAATAAAGCTAATTCATTAACAGGATTGTTTAGATGTAAAAAGGAATCTTTCACCTTTGATCCAAACTTCATATTAACAGGATTTTATTTCAATCAAGTGGATGATTTTCTGTGCCTTTATTAAGTTTTTTTTACCTCACCTAAAAATATCAATTAAAGCATGCAAAGTGATTCTGTATCTAAAAGGCAAAGGGGGATTAGGATATGACAGGGTTTGTTGAGTTTATTAAGTGGATGCAAATTATTCAATGCTGATAGCATATTTGAGGCTCCGCTAAGGGAGAATCTTATCATCTTCTCCAGATATTAAAGCAAAGACAGTTTCTCACTTAAGGCAGCTGGACTCGCTCTACGAGCCGAGGCAAACTTGTTTTCAAGAAACTAAATAAAAAAGGTCCTTTTAACTTCAAACTTTTAAAGTTTTTCCTCATATCTCATTCACATCTGGTTAAAAGTGTCGGTCCTTTGAGTGCTTTCAGGAAAGTGTATATCTGTCTGAGAAGTGTTCCACAAATTCACAGCTGAAACAACTACTTGCACTGATGAGGGTTGAAGCAGGGCTCGGTTGCCAGGGCAACCATCTCAAAAGCGTGGCCCGAAGCACTGCTAGGAAAAAGCACCCTTTCTTGCTTATTACAGCATCCCCCCAGGTGTCTAATGATGCAATTATATTTGGACAGGTTCCGAAATCAAAGTCTGACATGAAGCTGTTTCTGAGATACAAACATCCTCTCTGATAAAAATATGTTTCTGAAATCTAAACCCCATCTGAGAACTTTGGATATGGCTCTCCGCTAATTTTGGTGACAGGTTCCACGTCTCAGCCTTGACACTAAAATCACATGTTTTGGTCAAACACACTGATATTTAAAGGGGAAAGTGTCCTTTTTATGCTTTTTGTTTGGTAACATTTATTTTTCAGGTCTCTCAAAACTCAAAGTGCTTCATTTTAGTAAATGAAGCATTTAGTAAATGGTTTCCAGATTTAAAGTTAATCTCTGGAAATATCCATCAAAATGTTGTTAAAAATTAATTAAATGATGCTCAGTTGTTGAAAAATATTGATGGCTTTTTACATATAACTGTCAAAATCATATGTAAAATACACGGGAGTGGGTGTAAGTCTCTGGACGACGCCATATTAAATGCCATGTTTCCTTCTACGGGAGCCCATGGGGACAAAATGCATTTACTGATTTGTAACAAACGGTTACAAAACTTTAATCGTTCTTAAATGTTGTTGTTTTACACATCTACCTCTTTACTCATTGCCACTGATGAAAGGGATTGTGATGTGCTTGTCATTTTGCTGAAGTTTGCACTCCCCAGGGCTTTTTGACCCTAATGGAGATCCGTTGGTAAGGTCTTACTCCAACACAAAAATACAGTTTGTTTGCAGCAATTTAGGTATCTACTGCCCCCCATTGCCAGGAAAAATACACACTGTCACTTTAAAGTACAATTTTCACCAGAAGTCTTTAATTGGTAAATCTGTCAGCATCCTTAAACCATATTAGTAGTTTTGTGTGATAGATATTCATTAATATAGACATAGATGAGCATATATTTGGTCATTTTTATATGCCGGCTGGCCCCAAAAAATCAGATGTGATATCTGAGTTATTTTCTTTAGATGCAACAATACTTAGTGGGATGTCCAGAAATTAAAAGTAATTGATACCAGATTGTAGAAGACAGTCATAAATGGATGAAATAAACAAAATGGGAGTTTTTTTGTTTGTTTTTATCCTGCTTTTATTTAACTAGTACAATTATTAATATTAGATTTCTCTAGTCAAGGATAATTGGGGTTCCTCTTTATGGATCAGAAGCTTAAAAATTTGGAGCAACAACAACAAAAACAATGTTTTAATTGTATCTCAAATTAATAAAATTCCAGCTATGCACAAGTGTCAGAGTCATTCAGCAATGTTGAGATTACTGTTTAAGAATCACAGCGATTTAAGAGAATCTGTCTCATTTTCGTTTTAGCACATCAAGGGTGACAAAAAAATCTAATTTTTGGCTAATTGCTTATTGAAGCAAGTATGTTTATGGCTCAAAGCTACATTATGTGACCAATACTATATTTTTGTAGTTTTCTTTAAATTCAACTAAATAATGGCAAATATCTAGTTATAGCTGGCTGAAAAAGAACATCACCAGCATTCAGCAGGTGAGGATCTGATGGGTGTTCATTCCTTGTACACTGTAAGAAATTAAACGTTGAATTTACTTAACAAAATTGGGACAACTGGTGAGACTAGACCTATAGCTGCTTAACTATAAAGACCCAACCAGCACACATAAGTGGGCTCACACTATGTATGGGCAAGCCATGTGGATCCCAACAGGGTTTGTCTGCGGTTTCTGTGGTGGCCCCACAGGGGTTTCAATGAGCCAATGTTTGAGTCAAACCCTCTGAAAACCCATGAAGGGCCCATTAAAGTCTATGTGGGCAAACATCTTTCTGGACAAACCACCATTGGGCCACTATGGAAACACTTTAAATGCAAGCAACATATAGTGGAGCCAGTAGTCATAAATTTGTTGAGTAAATTCAACGTTTCATTTCTTGAGTGTAAAATATATCTAGAAAGTTCGTGCTAACTTCCCGTTGTGTTTGAAAAACCATTACCTGGATGTTTATAAGACACTAAATGTTACTACTAGAGGGAAAAAAATTTCCTTAAATTGACATTTCCTTTCTTCTAATGTATCACATTTTTCCTCTTTCATGGATATCGTTTCATCTAATCTGATCCATCATTTGTGTTTGAAACAAATAGTTAATTATCTTTAAATTACCAAAAGACAAAAATTAAAACTTTCAGTGACAAGAAAAAAAATCCTTATTCCTGACATTTAAAAGTTAAACGATTGTTGTTAGGCTCCAACAAATCTCACATTACTTCAGCCGCAGTCAGAAAAAAAAAACAATCAGATGCAATCCTCTATAGATCACTTCCTATGTAGATCAATCAATAATGTGGAGAAACACCGATGTTTTATTGATGGTCACATCCAGTTCTGTTCCCACTAAAACAAGCCAATCTAATGCACTAACAAGGCACCAATTAGCCTAAATAATCGCCTGAAAATGGCATTGACTTCAGCTGCAGCCAGCAAAAGAATCAGTCAGTAACTGCCCTGCAGCAGTTGTGGGGCAAGAGAACACAGCTTTCACCCATAGTGCATAAAAGATGTAGGGATTTAGGTCTCCCTCTCTCCAATCTGCCGTCTGACTGAGCAGGGAGGGGGTGATGAGACAGGAAACAGGAGACCAAACTGAACACACCTACACTAAGTCCCAAATGGTAAACAGGACTTATACAAGTAAATCTGAGTGTTAAAAAGGAAAGTTTTTAGTCTTCCAGGTGCATAAAAGTTACCTGCTTTGTTTGTAGGTTTCCAGTTTGTGACCTCTCGGCTGGAGCATCTTCCCAGCTGCAGCAGCGAGCCAAGCACACAAGAGCACAGCGACTGTATCCACCTGCATGGTTCACATTCCCCAGAGGATGACCTCCTCCGCCCCCCACCCCCCACCCTCACCCCCACCCTCCTGTCAATCAGAGTCTACTTCCCGCCAGGGTTTTGAAGCGATCTGCCCTCCCGAGACATTCCTCTTCTCCAGCACCGGGGGAGCCGATAAGAGGGAGGAAAACCAGACACAGCAGCAGCTACGCCGGGGCTATTCTACGGCCTGAGAGGAAAACATCCTACTGTGCTTAATCTCCACAGTGGGAAAAGCAATTTTGACTAAACCCGTAAATCCTTGAGCGTCAGATGGTACAGATTTGATCCCTCCAGCGGCGGATGTGTCTCTGCTGCTCTCAGCTACCCTGCACTCTGATGCACTCCACTCCACTTTGCGCCGCCCAGAAACACAAATTCTCACAGTGATGCAGCATGCTCATTTGTAAGGTCACTCGTCTGGATGCAGAGAGGCTGACAGGGAGGCTTGTGTTATCTGAGAGGATTCTCAGCTCCTTCTGTTCATATGCTGGGAACAAAAAGTGGGAGAGGAAGGGAGAGAGAGAGGGATGCACTGCTTTTAGTTTGTTTAGAGCCTTTTTATTGCTGCTTCCTGTGGTGTTTTCCACTGTTTTCTCCTCTCAGGAGACCCATAGCAGGGACTATGTTTAGCATCTATTAAAGAAATACGTACGGCACAGGTAAATGAGTCTGCAGATCCTGCAGTAATAAGGTCAAGACATTTTTCAATAAGAACAACTCTTTAAATTCACAAATTAAGAGTCTGTAACATTTATATCAATAAAGGTTGCGACTTTTAAATACAAGTAGTCTAATTATAAGTGATAAATTAATAATAAAGTGTTAATTTAATTCAGCAGAAGCTGTTAGAAACGTGAGGTCTGTCTGAACGGGACAAAAACACGTTTCATCCCTGACGTCACCTTCTGGCTGGTCCATGTGTCTACGTTTTTTTTTTTTTTTGCATCTGGATTATAAGATCATGAATTTGGGTTAGCTGCATCTACGTCAGTCTAAACATTGGTCGGAGTAATCACAGGCTGTTGGACACTTTTTTGATTTGTGCTTGCTTGTTAGCAACTGAACTACTGACCATGCAAATGCACGGCACATGCATACAAACACGGGTCTGGTGAAAACAATCCTTTTTTATTATAAGAGGTTTATAAGTGTGCTCTTTGTACTGAATTTATGTGCACTTAATCTTTGTGTGCAGGCAGAAAGATGAGGGGGAAAAGCTTGAATAAAATAAACAAAAATATAAAAATAAAATATATCACTTTATGCAAAAATTCTATTTTTGTTTTTGTTAGCCCCATGCAGAGCCATTTGAACACAAATAAACATGTTTCAGAAGAAGTTAAGCCATTACTGAAATACTGAAATCATGATGAGCCATGCACATTAGCACAATTACAATAACCAATCCACCCCAGCTTCCACAGGAAGTCCAACCTTCTTTCTATTCTTTATGATTCCATGCAATGTTGCAAAAGGTTTGCAAGGGAAAGCTGCTTACCTAACACCAATTTAAAGGGGACATATTCAAAACTCACATTTTACATCCTTTTGTGCTGCCATGTGGATCTTTACTACCTTTATAAACACTCTAAACGTAGAAAAAACAATGTACATCCATTTTCTGTTAGGATTTGTGTGCCTAAAACAAGCCGTTTGAAAACGTTCCCATTTCTGATGTCACAAACAGGAAAATTTGCATTAACCCCTTTAACTTGCAAGAGAGAACTGCTGCTAATGCAACAGTATGGAACTAGGATTGGGACAATATTCAGCATAACTTGTACCAAGTTTTGTAACTTCGAACATGTTTCATCACATGTAACTTTGAATTCGTAACTTGTAACTTTAGTTTTCTAACTTGTAATTCTCAATTCGTACTTGTATTTCTTGTTTTGTAACAGGAACATTGTATTTGCTGGGTTCCTTATATAGGAAACATTATTTCTGATTGGCTTAATGAACTGACCTGAATTGGAATGTTTATTATGTGAAGTGCCTTGAGACAAATCTTGTTGTGATTTGGCGCTACATAAATAAACTTGAATTGAATTGAATATTTTGTACATGTAATTTTTATTTTGTAAAATCAAACTTTTATTTTGTACATTTACTACTCATTTTGTATATCAAACATTCATTCAGAAACATGAAACTTTCGTTTTGTAACTAGCAGACTTCCAAATTTAAAAAATCAAGGTACAAGTTTGAAATCAAAACTCTCAAAACACACATTTCATTCTACAGGAACAAACCTCAAATCTACACTGTTACGAATCTTTTTGTCTCGATTCTAGTGTCAGTGGGAGGAACTTGGGTGGAACCAATGAGAGCACGAGTCTTAGCTACCAATCACGTTTCTCGAATTCCTGTCCAATCGGAGGGCAGGGTTCTGTCAGAGCTGTAGAGAGTTACGACACTCCAATAGACTCCCATGGAATGGGGAAGTCATGTGGTTTATGTAGCTTCGAATAGTTCCAAACAGCCCCGCTGCTGCATTGACTGTATTTCATTTTCGGTGTTTCTGAAGGATTTTCTCCGGTAAGTTGAACCCTCATTTTGTTGCATTGTGAAGCGTTAGCTAACCGCTTCGTACTAAAATAAGCCAACGGCGATATAGCTCCATACAACAGCTCTTCTCCAAGCCTCTACCAAATATCTGAGCTCCTCGGCTTATAGCAGCCTGAGCAGTAGGTGGGTGGGTGTGGCCAGTAACAGCTTGTGACAAAGCCCTGAAACGCCTCATTCTAGAAGGTCCTGAAACTGTCAAGAATAGAACTGCCGAAATCATTTTATGTGAGAGTTTTGTACAGACAATAAAATAATTATAACATATGAACTAAGTCATCACATGTTCCCTTTAAATATAAATACTATTCATATTGCGAGAGATTATTGTTCAAAACTACAAGGAGCTCCTTCACACTGGCTGATGAGGCACAACTTGCAGAGCCTGCAGTCTTTCTGCAGCTTCAATTGTGTGATTTCTTTCTTATACAACCCTAACACTCCAGTCATTTACTGATCAAACATCTATAAGGTTATAAAACATTATCTGACCTCCAGCTCCAGCACCTTCTCTGCGGTTGTCCCAAAACTCTTAAAAAGTTCAGCAGAATCCAGCAGAATTTATTAGCATTGTTTCTAAGAAGACCCTATTGGGTGTGATGTGATAAAATAATAAAATACAAACAAAAAATAAATAGTAATTTCAACTCAGCTGCAGCATACTGAATTATTTCACATAATTTGGCCCCAGCAGCAAAGGAGTAGCCAAAGCCAACAAGCTATAATGTTGTTTATGTTTCTCTACTTCTCTAAAATCACAGCAATAATACTTGTGCAGAGACAAGCTCGTTGTTGCAGTAACATATAAAAAAGTTGTTGTTTACAAGAGGAGAAAAAAATCAATCACTCATCAGATTCTGTGATAAAGGTTAAAAAAGCTTTTAAATTATGAATTAGTATGAATCATTAAGCTTTGCTCCGATGTAGAAATTGAATTTTCATATTTATTTATATTTTTCATTATTTTATTTCCTAAAACATTATTGTTATGAATGTTGTTTAAAATGTGACGTGATGCTTGAAGAAAACATCAAACAGGTTGCTAGAGACATGAAAATGCAAATGCCCCAAACTTTTCAGACAATTTTATGATGTTACATCAAGACAGAAAACATTTAAATTTCACTGATATAAGAATTTATACAAATGTTGGTGTAAAACTCCTATCCTGTAGTGACTGATGACACACTGGGAATATTTTGAGATTTTTGTACAAAAGCATAGATTTTTAATAATTTTTTTTCACTTCATGCCAGTTTTTCTGTATAGTTGGATCTTTAGGTTTAGTTATTCAGTGTTTTATATACTTATCATTTGTAAGTCACTTTGGACAAAAGCATCTGCTAAATACATAAACATAAACATAAACACAAAGGTCCAATCTTTAGTCCTCCAATTGATAATAATATGATCTATTTTAATCAGCATCAAAACAGAATTTATTGGCAGGGTAAAGCCATCAAATGAGCATGATTTTATAGAATATTCCATAAAAACCAGCTATTATCATGTGGTTACATAAAATAAAATTGCCAGAATTATTGATCCAGTGTAAGTTTTTAAAATGTGTAGGTAATTGAAATTATTTTTTCTTTGATTGTGCTTATTTATTTTCAACTTTACTGTGATGAGTTCATTCAATAGAAAATGTCAGGTTAATTAACCTAAACACAAACATTTTTAACCTGGAAAGTTTGATATCAGCTTTTTAAATGATATTCGGTACACCAATGTAGTGATTCTTAATAATCAATACCTATATATGGGGTTCCTTCAGAAAAATAACTAACATCACATATCTCTCATCATTGATACTCTCTTATCATTCATACTTAAAATTTGAACATTACCTTTCTCAAAATATGACAACTACTTAAATTTCAAGGTGCATTATGTAAGAATGTAGACTGACATCCTGTGGTCAAATTTAGGTACTGCAACCCTTTTTCAAAACAAATGGATACGTTTCTCACCACCATTCTATGAGTTTCATGGCTGTTGCCGGTCGGTATCAAATTACAAATGTCTGTGCAGACTCGGCAACCCCACAGACCCACAGAATGTAAACAATAACTACGTCCCTCTTTGGCCGTTTTGAAAGGAGAAAAGCTGGCAAGCTCCCAGCTGGCTCAGAAGAAAATCTGTTTCAGTATAACCTTCCTTCCAACATTATTGAGGCACTAGACTGATTTGTGATTATTTCACTGTCAAATTCTTGCCAGTGGTGGGTGATTTTTTTTTACACCATCTGTAGATGTTAGATATGCTAACTACATATCACCACTAGGGTACGCCAAATTACCATTCTTATGATAGAATCCACATCTTCTACATCATTAATGATGCCGCCCTGCGATGGACTGGCTCTCTGTCCAGGGTGTACCCGCCTACTTGCCCGTTAACTGCTGGAGATAGGCTCCACTCCACCTGCAAAACTCAAGGAACTCAGCAGCAATACAAAGAGCTAATTTCATGAAGTCAAAGCATAAATTCAGTCCTACCTTTGTTGCTTTTTGGTCATAATAATCTGTGTTTTGGTTTAAAAGAAATAACACTTGGTTTGTGTAATCCAACGTCCCAACATTCCTGTCTGTCTTGTGCTTTTTTTTTTTTTACCCGCTGGACAGTGTTTACATACCACATTCCATCATTTCCTGGTTCTTCATAATAAAAAAAGGAACAGGAAATTTGTCACAAGATGATTTGATCATGGAAAAAGTGTGAAGTCACATTTTGAAAATGCACTAAATGCAGACTAAACACAGCACGTTTGGTTTGTGTGATGTATAGATTGTTTAGTTTAATTTTCGAGTTTTTTATATATATTCTCTGATTCCTATCTTCTTCTTCCAGGGAAACTAGTGAGGCGATGCTCTAGCGCCCCGCTATGGACGAGCCACCACTGATTCTTACATATTGCACCTTTAATTTAGGCTGTTGAAAAAGTCATTTATTTTGCAGCTGAATCACATTCTCCCTGAGATACAGACGTCTACTACACAGAGACATTTTCTAGTTCTTCCCCAGTTGCGGCAAACATACAAAAATACCTCAAAAACTATCAATCGGATCTGACATATTTTGACATTAAGTGAGAGGAGAAGTAGCTGAAGAGGGGGATGTATAATATGTGTATGGTATGTACAAGTTGTGTCATTAGAAGTTAAACCCAAAACAGAAATTGCAGATGTCAGCTGGTAATTTGGGACATCTCTCTGTTTCTCTCACCTTCACAAACAGGATTCTAATTGTAAAAACTGTAAATACAAATCAATTTAAATAATCACGTAATTGTTATTCAGAGGGATCGCAGCGAGCTGAGTTCTTGAAGGTCCAAATTGACACGATAGATTAAAAAATCGTTTTAGTGTTTTATGAACTTATAGTCAGTGGACTGAGTTGATACTCGTGCTACAAAATAAACATTCTGGTATGACATTTATTGTGTGATCTTTCTCAAAAATCAGAAAGCAACTACTCCCTGGAAACGTTCAATTATCATTGTATCTGAGGGCAGAGTTGATTTCTAGGTTCAGATGAGCAAAGATTTCATACCAGATGACCTCAGAAACACACCCGACCCTTCAGAAAACCGTCCCTCAGTTTGGATTATCGATAAGACTACCGGCTCTTTTCCAAATATTGGTATTCCGGTATGAGCTCCACTCAGAAGCTGGGGTTATTATTTTTATCTATTTTCCTTGACACACAACTTAAACCTTGTATTTCCTTGTATTGTCGAAGAAAGACTGATATGCTTGCAGGATGTTTATCACGCTGTTGCATAGTCAACATCATAACAAGAATAGGTCCCCACCTGTCGCCGTGGTAGAAGTCAGTTGTCCAGTAATCGGAAGGTTGCAGGTTCGATCCCGGCTCCGGACAGGGAATTCTGCTGTTGTGTCCTTGGGCAAGACACTTAACCCATCTTGCCTGCTGGTGGTGTTCAGAGGGACCGGTGGCGCCTGTGCTCGGCAGCCTCGCCTCTATCAGTGTGCCCCAAGGCAGCTGTGGCTACATCGTAGCTCATCACCATCAGTGTGTGAATGTGTGTGTGAATGGATGAATGATACATTGTGGTGTAAAGCACTTTGGAGTCCTTACTCTGAAAGGCGCTATACAAGCGCGGGTCATTTATTTACCACAAAAATTGGGTCCTTTGGTGATTCACTTGCAACTTTATAAATCCAGTTTCCTCTTCTCATTTTTAATATTAATTTTCTCAGGAGGACGAAAATAGAGTTTTTTAAAGCTTCATTATAATAAGTAGACTAAAATATTGAGTTCTAAACGAATGAAAATATAAAACGTGCAATTTCAGACGCGGGGGAGCAACTCCCCATCATAACTTCCAGAGAATTGTTCTAGCATTGGCCAGGAGAGGGCGCGAAATCCCCGTTCTTTCTAGGCAACAACACATGCTGAATGGCGGTAGCCTGGCCTGCCAGACTCCTCTGTACAGAGAAAGGGTCTGGAAACTCTCCTATTCAAATAACCCCACCCCGTGAGAATTTCAACCGAGCCAATCAGCATCCAGGCTAGAATAGTGGCCCTTGAGGAACCCGGATGCAACACAACCGTGGGTTTTGAAAGCTGGAATGGTCATTTTTATTGTGTTTTTAGCTACTAAAATGAAATCACTTTTATAATGAGTTTCCCTGTTGCCAACACCAAAATTAAAAATTTAAAGAATTTAGAAAAAGTATTTCTAACTTTTGCAAATTTATAAATTCAGTTTCCTCGTCTCTTTCTACGATTCATCATTCTCCTGCTTAATATTCATATTCCCAAGAGGATGAAAAGAAATACAGTTTTTAAAAGCTTAATTAAAACAAGGAGGTGAAAATATTCTGTTCTAAATAGATGAAAAGGTCAAAATTGCAGTATCTAATTTCAGACACTGGAGGTCAGTCACTCCCCAACCGCCCTTCATCGCCACAGACGCTGCCACTGAGCAACACCCATTCTTATTTTGCTTTGTAGCCCTACGTAATAACTGTCAGGCGGTTTAAAGCCTAATTGCAGGGAGAAAAAATCAATTATATTTTTACAATTGTTAAATAATATCAGACTATTGAGTTGAAGGGGCGTACTTTGATTGTTGACCGGCGTTCTCATAGTTTGAACCTGGAGTTTATGCCTGACAGACATTACAGCGGGCAGATAAATATTATCGCTTCATTGAGTGACGTTTTCCTGGCGGGGCAATGCGAAACCAGAAACTTGTAAACGCGAAGCTAAACATTAGTGTTTACGCAGATGATTGATACATGTGAATGTTTTCTTATTGCATACAGTCAGAATCTGAGGCTAATTCTAAACGTAGGCAAACGTATGACGTTGCTAAACAGTTATGAGGCAAATGTCCTGTTAACCGCCAACAGGCAGAGCTAAGCTAACGTTTAGCGCGCTGTTTGTCATTCACTACCAGCTATCAGTTAAACCAATATGAGCTCTTCACGAGAAATCAAACGTAAGTGTTGCTCTATTTACAGCTGATCTGTTGGTTCCAAAAGGCTAAGATGGTTGTTTTGACTGCTCTTCTCTGCAGAGCTGCTGAAGGCAAAAAGCAAAGCCCAGACCAGCAATCACTTAAAGGAGGAAGCCAACATCTGCAACCAGCTAGGAGAGCTGTTGTCCAGGACTGGTATGAACCTCCACAGTTTTATATTTTTTATTATTATCACAAATGTGCTACCATCGCTTTACATCTTTATGTGACACTCTCCCACACACTTTTTGTTGCATATTCTCTGCGCCTTTGCAGCCTTAGATTTTATTATTTATCAATTAAATTTGCTCCCTATTTGTGCTGATGCATATAAAGGTTGTTGTGTTTGATCTGTGCATACCTCAGGTGACTACAAGGCAGCCATCAGGGAACATCAACAGGAGCTAGCTCTCTCTGAGGCTCTAAAAGATGTGATCGGACGCGCTGTGGCCCATCGGAAGATAGGAGAGTGCTATGCAGAGATGGGAAACATCGAGGCTGCTTTGAAAGTAAGCAGACTTGAATGCAAAAATGTTTTTTTAATGCATACCTAAAAGGAGTGTCTTGCTTTTTTTTTTTTTTTTTGGTTTCCAGCATCAGCATCATCACCTGGACCTGGCTCGCTCTGTCAGAGATCATGCTGAAGAGCAAAGAGCTCTGGCTACCATTGGTCGTACCTACCTGTTCTGTTATGAATCTGACCAATCGAAGAACAGTTTAAAGCTGGCAGAAGATGCTTTCAGGAAGAGCTTGGCCATTGTGGATGAGCGTCTAGGTGGTGTGTATCGATTGTTTGGGTAACTTGGAATAATCGCGCTCTGGTTAGGTGGTTACGTATGAAGGTTCTTTCAACGTTTAGGGATGGTGTCCGAGCGAGAGATCAGTGAGATGAAGGCTCGGCTTTTCCTCAACCTTGGTCTGGTGTGCGATCATCTAGGGGAGCCCAAACGCTGCAGCGAGTTCATCCGACGTAGCGTCTTCATTGCAGAGTAAGAAGAACATCTCAAAACAATCTCCTAATCGTGGTCATAATACGCTTTAATTCATTTGCCCTGCACAAAGTCTTATGATTTCGTCTTGGAACAGGAGGAGCCAGCTGCTAGAGGATCTCTACCGGGCCAACTTTAACTTGGGCAACATCTACTTCCGCAACGGCCAACACTCCAACTCTGTCCGCTGTTTGGAGCAGGCCAAAGAGTGTTCCCGGAAGATGAAAGACAAGTTTGCTGAGAGTGAATGCTTTCACTGCATTGGCAAGGTAGGAGTACCCTTCTACTGTTCGTCACTGCATTTTCACAGGCTCTGATGACTCAGACTCACATCCAGGTGCAGCTGTCTCTGGGGGATTTTGTAGCTGCCAGACGATCTCTAAAGAAGGCTCTACTGTTGGGTTCTCAACAACCAGCAGACAAGCAGGCAGTGAAGAAAGCTTTTAAATATGGTGAGAGGGTTTTTGTTTGTTGGTTTTTGATCGTATTTCCTCACAGATGCATTAACAACATGACGTGTGTGTAATACCGTAGCTGATCGAGGCTGTAGGTTAGAGGAAGAGCTGGGGGAAGATCAGGAGGAGAGTTTCGGCTCCCATCGGGCTGTGGAGCTGTCGGAGCAGCTAGGGGATCTTTACTGTAAGGTTGGCTGCTACAGCAAAGCTCTGGAGGCTTACCAGGCTCAGGTGAGACACCTAAGAGAAAACAAAATGCTCCATTTTAACTTTAGCTCTTGAAATTAGCTGGATTGTAATTTCTCCTGTGAATTAGCTGAAAGGTGCTGAGATGATGGCGAAACCGGCGCGGGAGCTGGCTGTGATCCACGTGTCCCTGGCTGCTACCTGCACAGACCTGAGACAACACGACAAGGCCGTGGAGCACTACAGGAAGGAGCTGGCTTTACGACAGGGCAGCTCTACAGAGGTGCACCTTCACCCCATAACACCAAGATAGATAACTTATTACTGTGGAAGAAACGACAGATTTCCTCTGTTGGACTGAATTAACTAACATATTTGCAGGCATGGTTGTTAAAAATCTACTCTTATTAAATCACAGAGCTTGTTTTAACCAACAGCTAATGCATGCGCATAACTACTGGTGTGTGTGTGTGTGTGTGCGTCAGGAGTGTAGCACATGGCTGAACATCGCAGCAGCTCAGGAGGAGAGTGGCTGCATATCTGAGGACATAGAAGGCAGCTACAGATCAGCTTCACGCTGTGCAGAGGCGTCCGGGGAGGTCCGACTGCAGGTGAGGAAATGTGACATAAAGTATTTAAATAGAAGCAGCATTTTTATCACAGCTTTACTACAGGTCTATGTAAAAGTTCATCTTACGTCCCACAGAAACGCACGCTGAGACTCTGGCTGGCCTTCCAAAGACGGAGCGGCTCATCGGAAGCAGATGACACGGCGGCGAAGCTGCAAGAGCTTTGTGCCTCAAAGGGCTGTGATCCAGAGGAGAGTGATGGGGAGGAGGATGAGGAGGAGGAGACGGACAACACCGAAACTCTGGAGGACAGCGATGTCGTTCTCTCAGACTCAGGTAGACAGATTCATCTGCCATGTTGTCGTTCTTTTTTAAAACACAGAAACGGTTTTGTTACCTGTTACTGACGCTACAGTTTCGCCGACGGCTGCCGGCTTCTTCAGGCTGACGCTGATAAAGGAGAAGGAAGACTTGGAATTAGAACATGGAATTAGAAATAACGCACAGCAAGAACACACCTAAGATTCATCTGCCTCCCTACAGGGGGCTGAACTTGTGATATTTATATTTATTTGCCTTTCAGATGATGATTTAGAGGGTTACGACAAAATGGTGTCAGGAAGAAGAAAGACAGGGAGGGTGAGTTAATTCATTATCAGTTAAATTATCTTTGGTTTCCTTAATTCAGACGTTAAACTTTTTGCCTTTTTTGCACTCGTGTGTTCGATTTAGTGGAATAAGAGGAACGAGAAGGGAGAGACGTCTCTCCACAGAGCGTGTATCGACGGAAACCTGAAGCAAGTCCAGTGTCTGGTAGAGCAGGTGAAAAACCGTTGAACTGTGAATCTTTTATCATGAGTGAGCTTCATGAAAATAAAAGTGTGTGTGTGTGTGTGTGTGTGTGTGTGTGTGTGTGTGTGTGTGTGTGTGTGTGTGTGTGTGTGTGTGTGTGTGTGTGTGTGTGTGTGTGTGTGTGTGTGTCAGGGTCACCCAGTAAATCCCAGGGACTACTGTGGCTGGACTCCCCTCCACGAGGCCTGCAACCATGGTCACTATGGTAACCGAGCTCTGTTCTGTTGTTAGAAATCAGTCCAGTCCAGATGTTTTCACTTACATTCTGTATCTCCGCTGTCATCCAGATGTGGTGGCCTTGCTACTGGAGCGTGGCGCCAACATCAACGATCCCGGCGGGCCCCTCTGTGAGGGAGTGACTCCTCTGCACGACGCCCTCGCTTGCGGGAATTTAAAAGTTGCACGACTGCTGGTGGAACGAGGAGCTTCTGTCACACTCCGCAACTCCAAGGTTGGTTGGATTTCTGTAGAGGTTGCATTACAAATATTTACTTTTGTAAATCAAATCAAAGATACTTTATTAATCCCAGAGGGAAATTAGAGTTATTAGTCAGCCTCATTTCACTCAGGTATCATTTTACACATAGAAACCATCTAAACTTGATGAAATCACAATTTTGTTTGTATTTTCTGTGCAAATAAGTCATTTGATTCTAAGAATTTAAAGATTTAATTAAATGACTAATATTACTGTATTTTTTTATTATTGTTTTTGCAACTTGGGGGAAAAAAAGTTAAACTAGTTCAATTTTAATGCAATTAAAGCGTCCAACGCTTCATGAAATACATTTAAATATGTCTGATTTAGCCTGACAAATAGTACAATTTTCCACTAAATGTAAGATTCATGGTCTTACTTTTCTTCAGCTAAGCTAACGTTAGCCACAACATGCTACCGTTATACAACACATCTTCCAAAAGATATGACTTGTAAATTACAAAAAAACTCACTTTTGTTTCTGTTTATCCATCACGTCTTGCTCCACAAAAGTATTTATGAAGAACTACCACCGCTTTGGAGGTCACATGACTTCCAGGGGAAAGGATAACGTCCGGTGTGTAGTGGAGCTATCTTGTCTGCAGTTTGGTGCCTCTCCAGATTTCAGCTCCAAATGATCACAAATGTTATGTCATCAACCAACAAAGTAGAGGTGTGAATCTTCACTTGTCTCCCGATTTGATTACGATTATTGGGTCAACGATTGAATTCGATTCGATATCCCGATGCATCACGATTATTTCATATTGATTTGTTTTCATTGATAAATAGATGTCAGATAATTGCTTTTATTTTATTTTATTTTAGTATTATTTTTTTTTAATCAAAAACGTAATTGACACAACCTGCCATCCCTCAAAAGCTCTCCATCCACAACAGGTTAGGACAAAACATTTAAACATTTAAGAAGATTTAACAAAGTAAAACATCTGTTTCCTCGTTCAGCACCACGCCTCAGGCTGAGAAAAACACGCTTTGCAAAAACTCACAAAATCTAAAAAAGTACTGAAAACCTACAGGACACATAATGTAATAATAAAATACATAATGGGTTCATATATGAGTGTTAAATATCTCTGAGCAGCTCTAGAGTCAAATATTTATGCCACAGTTGAAGTCTGTCAGAAATAACACCAAATGAAATGTTTGACTTAGTTTGTTATTTTATTTGAACCCAGTGGTTCATTTCTGAAATGTTGGAGAATGAATCAAGTTCAGTTTGTTGCAGAAAATAATAAAACATCAAACAAATTCTACACTTCCAATAATATTTAAGATGTGTGTTTTATTCTTGCTGATAATAACACCAGCAGAAGGCTGTGGGCTGGATTAGGATTAAATTACCCAGATGATGGATCTCCTTCACTAACCAGCTAACTACAAACCTTTCCACTAACCTGTCCTGTGGGACCCTCACCATGTAACCCTCATGTCCATGCTGTCTCTGGAGGAGCAGATAGGAGAGAAGACCTCCTGTAACCTAAAATGAACCAAAGCTTCCTCCCAGTTTCTCTTTAAGCTGAATTTAACATCAGTTTATCATCATGAAACAAAAGAATAAAGTGGAACAAGAACTTCTATTTCTCTATCCTTTTAACTTCTCCGTGTCCCTAAATAAAAGAGACAGACGATCACGCTGCAGCCGCCGTCATTGACCCCGCCCCCTCCCCAAGACCGGATCTCCCTACATTACAACAAGCTGTCTGACTGAGCGCTTCCAGGAGAAACAATAATGAAATTATGAAAATAATAATGCGTGTGTGGAGCATCGGTTTGGAGGAGCGTCCTCCGATCCTCTCTCTTGTGTGAGCAGACAGTCTCTCTCTCTCTCTCAGTTGCTGTGCGAGCGAGCGGAGCGCGCCGCTTGACAACCCGCTCAATTAATATAATTCACGGCCCAAATCCAACAGAACCGGTCGGGCTGATTCGGTTCCGGTTCGGTCTCAGGTAACAACTCTAGCGCTCAGCCCTGCAGTACCACATTAAGGCGGAACCACTTGGTAAATGTGGAGGACACTCTGACAGATTTGGATGCTGCGCTGGTGCCGCCATTAAAAAAACAAAACTACATTCCTCTATAATCGATTATGGCGTACTCTTCTACGATGCAGAATCGTTTATGTCCGCATCCCGATGCATCGATTATTTGATTATTTTCCTCAGCTCTACAACAAAGAGTTTTATTATTGTTGGCCATCTGGGCTTCTGTATCAGCTCTTCTCTACTTTTATAGCAGCCCTTCCCGTTATTTTCGTGCTCCATTCTCCATCCATCTTCCACCTTTTCTCTCTTCAATCAGGGGGAAACTCCCTCAGACACCCTGCGTCACTGGCAGAAGATGTACAGCAGAGAGCTGGACAAGGAGACCCGGCAGGAGTGTCTCATCACAGAGAAGCTCCTGAGGAAGGCTCTGTCACGGGGAGGTGAGGGTTTATCTACATATGCTCTTTTTTTTCTTCAGTCGTTCATTTTGAAAATGACATTTTCTCATCTCTTGCCCATTTCAGTTCCTTCTGCTCCAGCTGCGGCCAAGCCTTTCGATGCGTTGCAGGACAGCCAGCTGTTTGATGCAGAAAATTCAGAGCCGCTGGCGACCACTAGAGGGGGCTGTTCCTCCAGCCAGGACTGGTCTAGAACCGCCAGAGACTCGGGAGTGCAACCTAGCAGCCCAAAACGACGGCAGAGCAAACCGAGGCACAGAGCCAGAGGAACCGAGGCTGCGGTTCTATACGGGGTAACGTTTGGGAAACATTTTCTGTGTGGACAAAGTTTCCACAGAAAGGAATCGTAAAGTTTTCTAGATTCTGATATTAAATCTGCGTTTCAGGTGGCCAGCAGCAGCTCGGATGACTCTGATGGCTCGGTTAGTCCTCTCCGTCCTGTCCACCCCAGACGCACTTTCCTAGCAGCGCAGAGTCAAAAGGAGATCCCTCCTGAAGAACTTGCTGCCGTCCCCAGCTCCAGCCGAGATGGCACCAGGGAAGCCCCCGCCCCATCTGTTTTCGGACGAGACGAGTACCACAGCGCCATCCGCGGTTTAGGCAGCTCCAAAACTCTCCAACAGAGTTTCGCTCATCCTCAGTTCTCCAGCACACCCGCCGCTTCGTCCATTAGCAAATCTGCTCTGGTTCCAGAGGACGAGTATCTGGCAGACGACTGGCTGGAGGACGATTTGTTGGAAATGCAGCCGAAGAAAAAGAGGAGGCTTCGGATGGAGCGCGGTGAGCCGAGAGGGGAGGAGACGGCTTCATCGTCAGCAGCAAGGAGTCAAAGCAAGCCGTCGAACTCCAACTCAACCTGCAGAGGTACCTGATCTGGGTTGGTTTTATTTGTTTTTACTCTTTTCTCTTCATGTTCTTTTATTTTTCTTCTTCCAGATTATTCCGTAAACTCCTCCTCATCCAGCTGGGGAGTCTCTCAGAGGAAGAACGGCTTGCTAAGGCCTCGTCAGGTGAAAATGTCTCAGATGCCGGGGATGGTGAGATTAGGGAGGCGAGAGGTCAACAGGTCACACAGTCCCAATGTTACAAGTGACGAGGACATGAGACCAGAAACGCCTCTACAAATTCCCCATCAGGTACGAAGGCCGGCCTGAACCAGAACGGGACACGTCGTCTTGTTTTTTGAAATCTTGTAGCTTTTCCAAGCTGTTCTTAATCATTTACTAAGATGTTACTTAAAAAAACTCATTTAATTGGATCATCTCATTCAGTTTTTGTTTGTTTCAGACTACAGCTCAGGCTTCAGCTGCTCCCACGCCCACATCACTGCCTCCACCAATCAGGATGAGGGTCAGAGTGCAAGAGGACGTGTTCCTCATCCCAGTTCCACAGAGGTTGGTGTAGAGGTCCACTGAGGAATGCAGGCTAAGCGCTGCAGTGATGAATGTGGATGATTTACCATTTTGACCCTTATGGTTTCTCAGTGAAGCAGAGTCCTGCACCGTGTCGTGGCTTTGTGATCAGGCAGCGCGGCGTTACTACCAGAAATGTGGCCTCCTGCCTCGTCTTTCACTGCAGAAGGAAGGAGCTCTGCTGTCTCCTCAGGACCTGCTGCTGGCTGTCCTGCAGACCAATGAAGAGGTGATGAATCCCCCATCCTATTATCGTTTCTCTAAATTTTGAGGGTCAAAATGTCAAATATAGAAGTTTTTACCTCGGATTTTGACCTTTTTACGAGTCAGGTTCTGGCTGAAGTTTGCTCCTGGGATCTTCCTCCTCTCCCTGAACGCTACAGAAAGGCGTGTGAGAGTCTTGCAGTGGGTGAGCAACACACACACACACACACACGTTTTTTTTTTTTTTTTTTCATATTTAATTTTCCATTATGACCGGAAGTGTCTCTGTTTCCACACAGAGGAGAACAAACGTGTGACCCGGTTGTGTGAGGTCCAGGACAGCAGCTCCTCGGTGTCGGTGTGTGGTCTCAGTCTGGGCCCCGCCTCCCTCAACCCGCTCCTCCGCGCCTTTAAACTTCAGGCCAGTCTCAGCGAGCTGCGCGTCTCTGGCAACCGGCTCTCAGATGACCTTCTCCCTGAGCTGGTCGCCGCGACAACCACCATGCCTCATCTTCGGCTGCTGGACGTTTCTGCTAATTTAATAACGGGAGACGGGCTGGAGAGGGCTGTTGGCGCTCTGAAGGGACAGAGTCATCCCGCGTTTCCGGTAAGTCTGCTGCTTTTTTTTATTCCACCTGCTCCTATAGTCTAATTATTTATACCCCCAGACACATTTTTACACCTCACAAGCACAAACTTTGTTATTTAGTGAAATTTTCCACGATAAAAGATCCACAAACGCATCTAAGACGGGAGGGTGTGGGTAATTTCACACTTAAACGAAACAAACTCCATTTTTTACCTGTAAATGTTTTCAGCCACTTTGAGTTTAACATGCAGGCTGAACATGAAAATTGTCTTCTACCCCTATTTCCTGTATTAGCTGCAGAAGGAAAACGCTCGGATTACAAAAGCCCGACGTCACGCTGTTAACTCATTCACTGCCAATGACGACTAAAGTCGTCATTTGCATTTTTTTACTGTTTGAGCATCGGAACGAGCCCCCGCGCTGAGAGAACAAACATCTCAGCCCTGTAGCCAATCTTCATCCGCATACGTCACAGATCACATGATCAGGAACCAACACATCCATGTGTTTGGAGATCGTTTTGGGCCGTTCCTGTGAAAAAAGTGAGGTGCGAACCGGAAAAGCGTCTGCCGATCACAATTCGACAACGGATTATGAAAGAACAGATAACGCTCGAAACACGCGGCTTCTTCCTGATGTAAGAGGTGAGTCTCCTCTTTGTTTTGGTTGTTTTGGCATCAACATCATGCTAGCGCGCAACGTTCTGTGGCTCTTAAAAAAACAGTAAAAACGGTGAGAAACGCTGGCAGCGAAGGCCGTTAGTGATCAGGAAACGGCTGGCAGTGAATGAGTTCAGTATCATTCATGGACACACCCATCTTGGCTCATGACGGGGAAGGATGTTGTTGGTTTAGCGTCCAGGAAACGGCAGAGAGCATCTCGGCTAGTAGAAGCTAACTGTTAGCACTAGCGACTCCACAACACGGCAGAACTCCTTCAGGCTTGTGTTGTTTGTGGAGATAAAACATCAACATTGAAAAGCAAACGGAGTCAGCAGTGGAGCCAATCAGAGGCAAGATGTTTAAATATCAGGAAATAAGACTCCCAAGTCCTGCCGTCATCTGCTCACCTCTGCTCTGGCTAGCTTCTACTTCTTGAAAAAGGAGCGCCAGAGCTTTTTTTTCCCCCACAGATCGACTCGCCTCTTACCCTACCTCCTGACTGAGGTATTAAATAACAAACACTAAAGGGATTTTGTAGTAAAATTTTCATCACTCTTTCCAATATGTCATCTTTTCCATTGATAAATACACGCCACACTTAACCGATTTTAACGTCTTAAATGTTGAAAACTGTGTATCAGTTTCACTCCACGTCAGCGATGTCCATGTTTGTGTTGGTTTGTGTCAGAAAATCTATTAAAAAAAAGTAAAGTTTGTGGCTTTAATGTGTCAAAATGTGTAAAAGGGGTATGGATGCGTTTGCAAGGCGCGGTAATACCAAGCGTGTGACCTTGAAGTAGCTGCTGCTGAATTTAAGATGTCATCGAAGCCAAACTCATGAGGATGTTAGTAACAGCAGAGGTGGAGGAAGTCCAGCTTAGTTCGCTCTTTTGACTCCTTTTTTCTCATGTTCACAGGTAGGTGTTTGTTTCACCGAAGTGTGATGATGACCACACTTTCCTGTCTAAGATGTGTTTGTGGGTGTTGGACCTCACAAAGCAGCCTTTAAATATTTCCTTTCACACCCTCCTACACTGATGTGAGCATGATGGAGAAATGTCTTCATTAGAGCTCCTGTCATCGTTTCTGCCCCTTTAGTGCCTGGAGGAGCTGAATCTCAGCATGAACCCTCTGGGAGACGCCGTGTCCGAGTCTCTGTCCTGTCTGCTGTCCCTCTGTCCTCTGCTTTCCAAGCTGTCCCTGCAGGCCTGTGGCCTCACCGCTCGGTTCCTTCAGCAGCATCGGCTGCTGCTCGCCAGCGCTCTGAAAGGTGAATCCTTTTTCTTTTCCTCAGGTTTAAAAACACAAAAAAGGACCTCTCCTGTTTCCAGTAGGGATTTAAGCCCGAGTCACTCTAACACATATTCAGAAAGCATATTTTACTGTTTTGATCCCTTAGAATTGGGTCACCTGAAATCTGTGTCCCTATCCCACAATGCACTGGGCTCCACTGGCTTTGAGCTGGTCTTGAGGACTCTGCCGCTCCACTCTCTCACTCACCTGGACCTGTCCGCCATTCGTAGGGGTCCTACTGATCACCCGGCACTGGAACACCTCACCAAAGTCCTCTCACAGGTACACACACACACACACACACACACACACACGCACGCACGCACGCACACACACACACACACACACACACACACACACACACACACACACACACACACACACACACACACACACACACACAGGTCATTAATGCCTGCTTTTCAGACAAATTAAAGCACATATTTGCTTTTTCAGGAGGAGTGTTCTCTGACCCACCTGAGTCTGGCCTCAAACGGACTGACGGACAGCAGCATCATCGTCTTGTCCAGGTTTGTGCTGTTTTAAAGGTCGTGGCCACGCGTGATCATTTGTCTTCATCTAAGCAAAAATATATATCAATAAACCCAAAAGCAGTGATGTTTTCCTTTTGATCGTTATCAGTTTGATGTCTTTTTTTCACGAGTTTGTCCTGTAAGGAGTTTACTTTGATGTCATCTTTAGGTGCCTGCCTTTATGCCCGACTCTCGTGAGTCTGAACCTGTCAGGAAACCCGTCTGTGACCTCAGTGGGACTTCAAAGCATCCTGATGTCCATGAGAGAGGCGTCCCGACCGCTGACGCATCTAAACCTTCAGGGTGAACATCGTTCCGTCATCATGTAGCTTCTTCAGTAGCAGCAAATATCATGAGATTAGCTTTTCTCAGACTTTTCCTCATTCATTCATTTATTTATTTATTTATTCATTCATTCATTCATTCATTCATTCATTCATTCATTCATTCTGTGATTACATTTAATACCAATCTAGCATTATTCTGAGCTTCTAATCAAATTATTAGCCTGAATTCCCTAAAACAAGACTGAGTCACTCTTTATTTCAGTTTATTGTCTTTTTAAATGACAGAAAAATATATAACTATAATTAGAAATGTGAATAGTTGAAAATTTTGTTAAAGTCTTCAGAAATGATATAAAAAAAATTAACGTCAAACAATCAGCTTTGATTTTTTTTAGGTTTGTCTTTGTTTTATTTATTTTTCTGTTTTCTCGACGTGTTTCCCAGTTTTTAAATTTGTGGCTCATTGATTTTTTTTATTCCAGCGTTTAAAAATTCTTATTTTAACAATATGATACAAATAGTTGATTTTCATCAAATATTTAAATTATTATTGCTGTTTTAGTCATAAAATTGCATTTAATGAGCTTTTTTATACATTTTCTTTTATTATAGAAGCAGGAAAATTCCATAAAACCAGACATTTTCCCTGTTTTATCCCCAGGATGTCAGGTGTCTGGCCCGTGGGATAGCTATGCCCTGGATGGTTTATCCACACACGTTCAGGAGCTCCGCCTTTGCTCCCGGAGCCTGAACAAACTGAACCGAGACGCCTTAAAGCAGAACTGGGTCAAGAACCACCCAGATGGATGCTTCCTGAACCAAAACTCCAAGTTCCTGCTCTCTGCTGCAGACTCCTCTAGATGACGATCGTTTTTAAATTCCCTTCGTCTTCATCACTGATGCAGTTTTGAGCCACGTTTTTAATAAAGCTGCTTTTTAAGGGTTTAATCAGTGAAAGTGTGAGGAGACTAATAAAAGCAGATCCATTTCATGGAGTTTTGAAGGCCCCCATTATATGTAAATATGCAAAAAAGTTGTTTTTCTGTCTTCAACCCATGAAATAACTTTGTTAAATAAAAAAAATGAACGGATCGTTGAATGCTTTATATTCTCTTCAAATAACTCAAGTTTTATTTTCTTTTTGTTTCTTTTTCACTTCTTTTCTGCTTTAGTTGATGGTAATCAGAGCTGATTTCCATAACGGGTAAGGAAAAGGTTTTTACTTGCATAAAAAATACAGAATTACTTAAATCTCCCACTATTTTATGAGGACAAAGTGCAATATTAGATTTAATTGTAATCTAGACAACCTATTTCTGTATTTCGCAGTCTAATTAAAGTGGCCTTTAAAGGCAAAAAAGCCCGCAGGCGACCAGAAGTTTATCTGGGCTTTAAACCTTTTTTTTACTCACAAATTTGATTTAAATATAAAAAATGATGAATAAATATAGAATAAGTTAATTTTCTTACAGATGTGATATGAATTATGTGCATATTAACTCATTTTGATTTTACCCTCAGAGGAGGAAAGCATCACTAATATACTGATCTCTAAGTCATAAACCTCATATTTTTATATAAATTATTATACATTTTCATAAATAAAATTTTGGCTGAGTAGAACAGCTGCACCAGTTTTTGCCTTTTCTGAATTGGAAGTCATTTTTTCACTTATTTATGCAAAAAGACACATGATGTTTATCTTTGGTGCACAGAAACGGGTGGAAATCAGAGCAAAGAAGCATTTAATGACATTGACAGGTTCTGAGAATGATTATCGATATATCGACTCCCCATTTATGGCCATAGGGTGTCAGAGGAGAAAGGCTGGTCCTGATCTTTTGCTCTAAAAAGGTAATAAAAGAGAAAAAGATTAATGAAAAAGAAGACATAAAACTCTTTCAGGTAAAAATTCTGCATTATTCAAACAGCTGTGACTCACTTGCACGCCCCTGTGTTGACGCAGATCGTCCTCACATCGTCAGTGGTGGTCATCTCCTCCACCAGCTCCCCCAGGTGGGAGGTCACAAACTTGTGACACTTAGATTTCAGGAGTCCCATTTGATCACAGACAGTCTTCAGCTTCTTTATTATGCTCTACAAAAGTTATTTTATTTTACAGACGTAACTGATCGCACCGTTGTGGCTCAATCTTGCCATTTTTTAGAAAAACAATTTTACCTCTGAGGTGGCGTTTTGTCCGATGGCGTTCTTCACCTTCTTCAGAGCCCACTTGCATCCCCAACAAATTCCTGGAATCTGTAAAATAAGGAGACACAAACACCGTTTAAACTATTTTGTTTAAATCAGTGCAATGTATGATTGAGACCACATCCACCAGATATTCCGTCCGACATCAAATCCCAGTCAAGACTTTTTTTAGGCTCACTTGTGCTTCCCCAGAGGCATCCACCTGCTCCTCATCATTAATGCTGACCTCAAAGCTTCTCCCCTGGACTGTCCAGACTGTAAAAAACACAAAACAGATAACACAAACATTCTAATATGAGTAATAAAAATAATGTGATAAATGCTGCAGCCCTACCTGAGCAGGTGACCAGGATGCAGAGAAGGAGGACTGAAGAGGTTTCCATCGCTGACTGACTTGTCCTCTCAGAGTGTGATGAGTGTTTGTGCTGAGCGCTTTTATATGTGACAGAGGTATGTGACGACCCTCTGCTGACCAAACATTGTTCCAGGTAATGCACAAACTGCTGTGGGAGGAAACAGCAGGTTGATTCTCAGTCACACTTCTTTTCCTGCTAAGTTCAGGTGACAATAAATGAGGTTTGCTGTCTGTCATCAAGATGAATTCAGAAATGAATCAAAAGCTTTAGTAAATTCATGCTAAAGATTTTTCACTCTGGTCTAAAAGGGAATCTGCTTATGTAAAAGTCTTCATTTTAAAGAGTAACTAAACCCCAAAATAACAGTTTTTTGCTTCTAAACTGCATAGACCAATATCTAACCTTCCATTTTTATCCAAAGTCCTTGAGAAAATAGTGGCCATCCAAGGATGTGAGCATTTAAACACTAATGATCTGTTGGAGGAATTTCAGTCTGGTTTTAGACGGTATCACGGCTCTGAAATTGAATTAGTGAGAGTTACAAATGATATTCTCATGGCCTCAGATAAGGATCTTGTGTCTGTTCTAGTCTTGTTAGATCTCAGTGCTGCCTTTGACACAGTTGATCACAATTTTCTTTTAGAAAGGATTGAACATGTTGTAGAGATCAAAGGAACAGCGCTAGGCTGGTTTAAATCATACCTGTGTGATAGATTTCATTTTGTAAATTTCGTCGTCATCGTATTCCTCCGCTTATCCGGGTCCGTGTCGCGGGGGCAGCATCCCAACTAGGGAGCTCCAGACCTTCCTCTCCCTGGCCACCTCCACCAGCTCCTCCAGCAGGACCCCAAGGCGTTCCCAGACCAGATTGGAGATGTAACCTCTCCAACATGTCCTGGGTCGACCCGGGGGCCTCCTGCCGGCAGGACATGCCCGAAACACCTCCCCAGGGAGGCGTCCAGGAGGCATCCTGACCAGATGCCCAAACCACCTCAACTGACTCCTTTCGATCCGGAGGAGCAGCGGTTCTACTCCGAGTCCCTCCCGAATGTCCGAGCTCCTCACTCTATCTCTAAGGCTGAGCCCGGCCACCCTACGGAGGAAACTCATTTCGGCCGCTTGTATCCGCGATCTCGTTCTTTCGGTCATTACCCAAAGCTCATGACCATAGGTGAGGATTGGGACGTAGATCGACCGGTAAATCGAGAGCCTGGCTTTCTGGCTTAGCTCCCTCTTCACCACGACAGATCGGCTCAGCGTCCGCATCACTGCAGACGCTGAACCAATCCGCCCGTCGTTCTCCCGATCCCTCCTACCCTCACTCGTGAACAAGACCCCAAGATACTTAAACTCCTCCACTTGAGGTAGGACCTCTCCCCCGACCCAGAGTTGGCAAGCCACCCTGTTCCGGTCGAGAACCATGGTCTCAGAATTAGAGGTGCTGATCCTCATCCCAGCCGCTTCACACTTGACCGCGAACCTACCCAGCAAGAGCTGAAGGTCAGAGCTGGATGAAGCTAGGAGGACCACATCATCCGCAAAAAGCAGAGACGAGACTCTCCTGCCACCAAACTCCACACACTCCACACCACGGCTGCGGATAGAAATTCTGTCCATAAAGGTAATGAACAGAACCGGTGACAAAGGGCATCCCTGGCGGAGTCCAACCCTCACTGGGAACAGGTCCGACTTACTACCGGCTATGCGGACCAAACTCACGCTCCTCTGGTAAAGGGACTGAATGGCCCTTAACAGAAAGCCACCCACCCCATACTCCTGGAGCGTCCCCCACAGGGAGCCCCTGAGGACACGGTCATAAGCCTTCTCCAAATCCACAAAACACATGTGGATTGGTTGGGCAAACTCCCATGCCCCCTCCATCACCCTTGCAAGGGTATAGAGCTGGTCCACAGTTCCACGGCCAGGACAAAAACCACATTGCTCCTCCTCAATCTGAGATTAAACTATCAATCGGACCCTCCTCTCCAGTACCTTGGAGTAGACCTTTCCAGGGAGGCTGAGGAGTGTGATCCCCTATAGTTGGAACACACCCTCAGGTCACCCTTCTTAAAGATGGGGACCACCACCCCGGTCTGCCACTCCACAGGAACTGCCCCCGATGACCACGCAATGTTGCAGAGACGTGTCAACCATGACAGCCCTACAACATCCATAGCCTTGAGATACTCAGGTAGAACCTCATCCGCCCCCGGGGCTCCACCGCTGTGTAGTTGTTTGACTACCTCAGCAACTTCTGCCCCTGAAATTGGACAGTCCATCCCCAGGTCTCCTGGCTCTGGTTCCTCCTCGGAATGTGCATAGGTGGGATTGAGGAGCTCCTCAAAGTATTCCTTCCACTGTCCGACTGTAGCCTCAGTTGACGTCAGCAGCTCCCCATCCCCACTGTAAACAGTGTGAGCGAGTTGCTGCCTTCCTCTCCTGAGGCGCCGGACAGTTTGCCAGAACCTCTTTGGAGCCAATCGATATTCTTTCTCCATGGCCTCACCAAACTCCTCCCACGCCTGAGATTTTGCCTCAGCAACTGCCACTGCTGCATCCCGCTTGGCTATCCGGTACCTGTCTGCTGCCTACGGAGACCCACAGACCAGCCACGCCCTGTAGGCCTCTTTCTTCAGCCTGACGGCTCCCCGAACCTCTGGTGTCCACCAACGGGTACGGGGGTTGCCACCACGACTGTCACCGGCCACCTTGCGACCACAGCTAGCAACAGCCGCCTCAACAATCGCAGAGTGGAACAAGGCCCACTCAGAGTCAGTGTCCCCCACTGCTCTCGGGACGCGGTCAAAGCTCTGCTGGAGGTGGGAGTTGAAGACCGTCTTAACAGGTTCTTCTGCCAGGCGTTCCCTCACTATGTGTTTGGGTCTGCCAGGTCTACGCGACATCTTCCCCTGCCAACTGATCCAACTCACTACCAGGTGGTGATCAGTTGACAGCTCCGCTCCTCTCTTCACTCGGGTGTCCAAAACATATGGCCGCAGGTCAGATGATACGACTACAAAGTCTAACATCGACCTGCGACCTAGGCTGCCCTGGTACCAAGTGTACTGATGGGCATCCTTATGTTCGAACATGGTGTTCGTTATGGCCAAACTGCGGCTTGCACAGAAGTTCAATAACGAAACACCACTCGAGTTCAGATCAGGCGGGCAGTTCCTCCCAATCACACCCCTCCAGGTCAAGCTGTCATTGCCCACGTGAGCATTGAAGTCCCCCAGCTGGACAATGGAGTCCCCTGATGGAGCACTATCTAGCACTCGTCCCAGGGACTCCAAAAAGGGTGGGTACTCTGAACTGATATTTGGCCCATAAGCACAAACAACAGTCAGGACCCGTTCCCCGACCCAAAGGCGCAGGGAAGCTACCCTCTCGTCCCCCGGGGTAAACCCCAACACACAGGCAGAAAGTCTTGGGGCTAACAAAAAGCCAACCCCAGCCCTCCGCCTCTCACCAGGAGCAACTCCAGCAAAGGAGAGTGTCCAACCCCTCTCAAGGACTTGGGTTCCAGAGCCAATGCTATGTATCGAGGTGAGTCCGACTATATCTAGCTGGTACCGCTTAACCTCTGCCACAAGCTCCTGCTCCTGCTCCTTCCACGCCAGCGAGGTGACGTTCCATGTCCCAAAAACCAGTTTTCTTCTCCAGGGATCGGACCGCCAAGGCTCCCGCCTTGGTCTGCCACCCGATCCACAATGCACCGAACCCTTCTTCCTGTGGGTGGTGGGTCCATAGTTGGATGAGCCCATGTATCCGGTTCAGGCTGGGCCCAGCCGGGCCCCATGGGTGAAAGCCCGGCCACCAGGCGCTCGCTCACGGGCCCCAACCCCAGGCCTGGCTCCAGGGTGGGACCCCGGTGACCCCCCGGGCTGGGTACTCCAACTCTTTGACTTTACCTCCATGAACTATCCTGTGATCTTGTAAATGTACATGACAAATCGTCTTCATACTCCAGGGTTACTTGTGGAGTACCACAGGGTTCAGTGCTTGGACCAATTCTTTTTACTATATATATGCTCCCAATTGGTAAAATCATTAGACAGCATGGGATAAACTTCCACTGTTATGCTGACGATACTCAGTTATATCTATCCATTAACCCTGATGAACCTAATCGATTAGTTAGATTACAGGCTTGTCTTGAAGACATCAAAAATTGGATGACTCAAAACTTTTTGCTTTTAAATCAAGACAAGACTGAAGTTCTCCTCAGAGAGATTAGTCTCAGAGAACAAAGTAAGGAACCTTGGTTTGATCTTTGACCAGGACATGTCATTCAGGTTTGTAGGATTTCCTTTTTCCACCTTCGTAATATTGCTAAGATTAGATGCATCCTTTCCAGGAGTGATGCTGAAAAATTAGTTCATGCATTTATTACATCAAAACTGGATTACTGTAATTCATTACTCTCAGGAAGTCCACAGAGTGTAGTTAAAAGTCTTCAGCTTGTCCAAAATGATGCAGCTAGAGTTCTGATGAGAATTAAAAAGAGAGATCATATCTCACTTGTCTTAGCTTCCCTACATTGGCTACCTGTTAAATTCAGAATAGATTTTAAGATCCTCCTTCTCACATATAACAATCGACCTCCATCATATATCAGTGACCTGACTGTTCCATACACTCCTAACCGAGCACATCACTCTCAGACTGCAGGTTTACTGGTGGTTCCCAGAATATCTAAAAATAGGATGGGAGGCAGATCTTTTAGTTATCAGGCTCCTCTCTTGTGGAACCAGCTCCCAGCTTTAGTCCGTGAGGCAGACACCTTGTCTACTTTTAAGACTAGGCTTAAAACATTTTTATTTGATAGGGCCTATGGTTAAAATCTGATGTTAGCCTAGATCTGGACAAGTGGGGGAGTAGAGGGAGGTGGAGTGTACAGTCGGTAAAGACGGCTCTCCCTTGCCCTGCCTCCAACATGCCACTATCTAAAAGGCTGGGTTTTCCAGAGTTATCTCTGTAGTTATGCTGCTATAGGCTTAGACTGCTGGAGAACACACTGACCACTTTCCACACTCGACTACTTTCTTCTACAATCTGCTCTTTAACTGTATTATTTCCTGCTATTTCAGCTGTTAACTTTATTTTTTCTTCAAGTGTTTTTCTCCCCAGAAGAAGCTACAATGGTGTTCTGCTGAGCTGTGGTGCCCTCATCATGGAGGGGGCCATCGTCTTGAACACTGTTGCTAACCATTTAATCATTCTCCCTCTCCTGATAATAACATTTTACTTTCCTTGACATTGAATGCGCTACTACTAGTTTACCCGTTTAATTATAAATACACTAGGATAAATACAATAAGGTTTATCTCTCACCATATAGAATATTTAGTAAGAAAACACAATGTAACCATAAAAACACTACTTGGTTTACATGTTGTGTGTGTGTGTGTGTGTGTGTGTGTGTGTGTGTGTGTGTGTGTGTATGTGTGTGTGTGTGTGTGTGTGTGTGTGTGTGTGTGTGTGTGTGTGTGTGTGTGTGTGTGTGTGCTCTTTCTTCTCCATCCCAAGTGAGTCGTGGCGGATGGCTGCTTATACTGAGCCAGGATCCTCTGGAGGTTTCTTCCTGTTAAAAGGGAGTTTTCCTCTCCACTGTCGCTAAATGCTTGCTTAGTTTGAGGATTGCTGTAAAGACTCTGACACTAGTCAGTGACTTGATGCAATTTACTGGGTTCCTTATATAGGAAACATTTTTTCTAATTGGCTTAATGAACTCTTTGGAATGTTTACTATGTGAAGTGCCTTGAGACGACTCTTGTCGAGATTTGGCGCTATATAAATAAACTTGAATTGAATTGAATAACTGGGTCTTTACCAGAGACGTGGACTCGAGTTACATGACTTGGACTCGAGTCTTTATTTTAAAGACTTCTGACTTGACTTGATAAAATCTATAAAGACTTACGACTTGACTCGGACTTGTACGCCAATGACTTGCAACTTGAATCGACTTGCATCTGTTGACTTGATGATGACTTGAGCATATTTGATATTTTAGCACAACATGGACAAAACTCATAAATCATCCTTCGTTCTGGGTTTGAGCTTGTACTGCTAAATGCAGCAGCCCTTAGTTTATTATCCATTTTAGTTGCACTTTCTGCTTGTTTGAGCAAATAAATGAAGCTTTAAGAAGCTTTATTTCTGGAATTTATTTATTATCATTGTCACTAAATTGAAGTTGGACAGATGACTTGATTATGACTTGAAAA